GGGGGGGGGCCACTAAAATGGCTTAAATTTTACTTAAAAGTGAGTCAGATAAAGATTTTATTTTAATCTCACAAAAATATTGGACATGAGGGCCTACTTAAATTGTTCTGTTTTATTCAGAAAAATAAAATAAAAACAGAGAGCAGTTATGTTAAGATTGTAAAGAATTATCTGAAAAATCTGACATGAACCACCAAGTTTTGTCCCTACTGCAAAAAATTAAATTAAATAAAAAGAATTGGACAAAAGTTTGATGAAGAACTTTTAGGAATTTTGCATTATACCAAAAATCGGACAACAGTGATGATAACTACATTTAAGAAAAACACAAAATATCTGCAGAAAATCTGGCAACAAAATTTTAAATGATGATTGAAAAGTGGTTCGAATTTGAACACAATACGGGTCAATGAGAGGACCCAATTGGACGGACAAATGGCTTTCACCTGGTTGTGACGCGGAACGCGGCGAGCCACAACAGACGCGACCTCGTCCCTAATTGCCTTTTCCGCTCATTAATGGGCTGCCACGCCTCATGAAACATTAATCACGGCGAGGAGATAGCAATGCTTAATTAGGAATTATTCGCCACGTGGCGGGTTGCAATAAATAAATAAATAGCTAAATGGATGCCGATGACGCTGGCGGAATATCACAAAGGGGCTACCAGGTTTTGAGGATGGTGCGGGAGCAAAAGATACATTAAGGAACACGTTTACAACCCCGTGTAAAAAGTGTGCAAAATTGCAGCCGTGTCGTAAACGCACTTTACGGCTCCAAATGGACACGACGATGCAAGGCTGGGCCGCTAAAACGTCTGCCTGCTCCCACTTTGGCAAGCACAGTCAAGATGTCGAAACAAATAGGAACATTTATTGCCATGTGAACGGAATGGAGCTTGCCTCCAGTATTTTTCTTTCTTTCTTTATTTTTTTTTGGGAAGGGTGGGGGCGGCATCTTCAACCAGTGCGTATTTATTGTGCTGGTGAATTTAATCCTTTTTTTGCTCAACTGCAACAAGGGCAGAACATATTCGACAAGAGGCATTGTATGCTTGTTTGAGTAAAATCACAATGGTAACTTGAATTTCAAAACACATTTTTGAATGGATGGTTGCACTCCCTGAAGAAAAAGTCATCATTTTATCTCGTCACATACATATACACAGCCAAGAAAAAAAATGATCCTATTACAAGTCAATTAATAATTTCATCAGAATTTTCAAAAAACTTTTCCAGCAAAACTTTTTTTTGTTTGTTTTGTTGATTTTTGGGAGGAAAGCAAGTCGTTTTTATCAATCCAAGTCTTACTTCTTTGAGAAAAAAAAAAATCTTCAGCCATCACTGACCTGCTCTTCAGATGCTGGATGCTGCCGAGACATTTGAAATGTCCGTTTACCATGATGGCCATGCGTGTGCACAACGCTTCACACTCCTCCATACTGCTTGCGCAACACACAAAAAAACAAACAAAAAAAAATTTTTTTGAATTTCTTATTCATTATTCAATTTTCTTTTTAGGACAATGAATGGTTCACCTGTGTGAGGTGAGAACGACAGAGCGTCCCTCCTTGACCACGCTCAGGATGCAGTCCCACAAGAAGCGCCGGGCTTTGGGGTCCATCCCAGTGGTCGGCTCATCCTGCCAAAATATTTGCAGTGTTGCTTGCTGTGTTCATGTTGAAAAAGACTAGCCAGAAAAGGCACACAAAATCTAATATTACTAATATAATGGCCAAAATGACCCTCATTTTGGCCATTATATTAGTTCCTACAAAGTCACCTTTTTTTTCCCCTGAATTTACAAAATGCTAAGTCGCAAAACCTTTGAGCTTTTGGGTGTTAATTCCAACATGTAGGCAGCCTTCTTGTGGATTTGTTTTGGGCTCACCAGGAAGATGAGCGGGGGACAGCCGATCAAGGCGATGGCGGTGGAAAGTTTGCGCTTGTTGCCTCCACTGTAGGTGCCGGCCGGCTTGGTGGCATACTTCACCAGGCCCAATTTCTGAATGCCCCACTCGGCCACCTTTTTGCCACGCACGCACACACACATAAACACTTTTGACAAAACTGGAGTCATGGGGACATGCATAATTATGAGAACAGTTGAAAGCAAGACAATCACAATCCTTGTCAAAAATACAAAATTAATGTTAAAATGATTCATGGAGACAATGTGCTAACTTTGACTTAAACTTACAAAATTTAGAACCCCTCATATTTTTCCAAGTTCGAAGAAGTAACCGTGGCATATATCAACTCGGCCGAAGCTTTTCTTTGGACTTCCTCCATACGAAGAAACGAGTTGCCGTGTGTACAGTTACCATTGCAACCTCCTTTTCCGGAACCCCTCGCAGCCTGGCGTAGAACTCCAGATGCTCTCGGCCTGTCAGCAGGTCATTGATGGCATCGAACTGGGGGCAGTAGCCCATGTTCTGGTGCACAGCGCTCATTTCCGTCCTGATGCTGAGACACAGAGAGAGCATTTTCAACCACAGCTGAGATGATAAGGCACATTAAGATTTTTTTTTTTGTTGTCAGCAAAGAGAATTAAAAGACGTCATTCATGATCAGTGGCCTTTTGTTAAATTTCCTAAACTCTATAGCTCTTCTTATATGGTTTTAATTAATACTTGTCGTGAATCTTTTACTATTTTCCACACTCCGAAGAATAAGGCGCCATAATGTGATTCTGATTTTCAAATTTGGCGGCTCACCTGTATCCATTGAGGAAGGCCTCGCCACTGGAAGCCGGGATGTCGCCAGTCAGCATCTTAAAGGTGGTCGTCTTCCCGGCCCCGTTGATTCCCAGCAAGCCGAAGCACTGGTGGAGCAAGGAAGGCGAGGAATGACTGACATTCCGACTCAACAATGTTGGTGTGAACAGGGACTGAAAAGCTAAGACCATGTGGGAATATGGCTCGTGAAATATCCGATTGCACAACGGGATCCACTTGTGTCAATTTTAAAAAAGCATTTAAGACTTTTACAACAATATCAGAAAGAGGGTCCAGTAATTTTATTTTCATGTTTTATGTTGGCTTTTTATTTATGTACAACATTTTGACATAAGAATGACTTGTCAAGTTGGGAAAAAAAAAAGTCAGACAACAATGGCATTATGAATTTTGGAAAGATTTTACAAAATATCAGACAATCATTAAATTTCCATAAAAACAGATAACAGCTGGATAGAATTGTTAACAAATACCTTCTTAAGTTTTTCAATTTTAGCAAAAAATGGACAAGTAGGCGAAGGATTTTTTAACAACTTCCACGAATTTTTAAGAATTTTAAAGAAATGTGAAGCATTTTATAGACATTTGATTTTTTTTTTAAGGAAATTTTAAGGACAAGGAAGAATTTTGAAGGATTTTATATGCAGTAATATTGTTCAACAAGTAGAGTCACTTGAGAAAGTCGGATGGGAAAAGAGCCGCGTCTTTGGAGCACGGTGAGAAATACACAAATATGACAAGAGACTCAGAGTCAACATGGCCGACGCAGGGGACTGTGGCATCAGATGGGGGTTCCGCAGGGTCCTAGCACCTACAACCGCCATCAATTTTTGATTTCCGCCACTCATGCATCTCACAACCGGTCCTCGGGAACGTGCAGGAGACGGGCTAAGCTGCGTGTAAATAATGCATGGAAATGTGTGGTGGCCCGCCGTGAATCCCAATACCGAGCTGGCATTTACACGGCGGCACTCGGTAAACAGCAGTGGCGGGGATTGATGCGTCCAATCCCGGCCGCCTGTCAACATTTGAGATTACGCGGAAAGCTAGCATGTGTAATCACGACGGACGTGACGCTGATTACTACAAGTAGATTCTTTGAATGTTATTCATGCAGGAGACGTATAAGACCCGCTCTCTAAGTCTCTGAAGAGGAACTAAAGCCAAATTTTCTTTTGCTAGTGCGCCAGCACCAGTCAAAACACAGTACTCTGACTAATACAGCGTTTGTGGAATAAAAATGACACTGAATCATTCATTAATCTCAGGGGACCGCTACGTTGGGCGATATCATCTTCTGGAAGTGACGTCACAAGTACAGTCGCTGCTGTGCAAATCGCGACAGCTAATAGAAGTCATTAGCGGACATTCGTTGTCATCAGTGGTTGTTAGCCGGCCTGCTGTTAATAGGTTAGCGGACATTCGTTGTCATCAGTGGTTGTTAGCCTGCAGTTAATAGTCATTAGCAGTAAATAAAATGATAGCAATACATGTCAAGTGACGACAAGTATTCCATTTTTTCTTTTTCTATTAAAAAACAAAAACTCGCCAATGCAAATGCAATCATGACACGCGGCAGCATTTGGCTCACCTCAGCTGTAGGTACGCCCACACATAGCCGGTCCACAGCGGGGATGCGCTTCCCCGGATACACCTGCAGGGAGCACAGCCGGCGAACCAATGAGGACGCTAACAATAAGAGCGTGAAAAAAAAAAAAATAATAATAAACAGCAGCAGGGAAGAGTGGAGGCGGGAAAACAGCGGAGAGTGTTTGGAACAATTAATGGCAGCTCGGTGCGGTCAAGGACACCTTCATCACACATTCGCTTGAATAATATTCCAAATACGTTCACTGCACAGAGGATTCGGCATCTATCATAATAGACACACACACACACACACACACACACACACACACCTATTTATATTAATGAACAAGTTTCAAATCAATGCCCATGGGTTGCTCAAATTGACTTTTGCTGAAAAACACATAATCATCCAAGAAATGAAAAATCTAATTTGATCAGAGTGCTGGATGGAGAACAATTATGCATCGTTTTATCTCCACTATACGACGTCTAAAGTGATTTATTTAAATATAGGCCACGATATTAAAATAAAAACCTTTTTTTTTTCCATTGAAAATATATTTTAATTCAATATTTTTTGGTGTGGTTCTACTCCATCGACAATGACGGCGCAATTAACGGAGGCCTGGCGTCTAGTTGCGCGGCGGCCATGATTTGATGAACACCATCCGAACAAACTTCTTCCAGCGCCATCTGGCTGCGCCACTCAATTCACGTCAGACACGTGCTACTTTTTAATGTCGGCGCTCACATCGCTAACGCGCCATCAAAGTGCGACGTATGACGAGGATGGATGGCAATTAAAGCATAATCACGCCATTCGAGGGCGGTTTGTTTCGTCCGTGGAGACACGTGAGGGGACACTATGGAATCTAGTTGGGAGGAAAAAAATAAGATCGAAACTTGGTCTGTGTACCATGAGGAGACGCAGGGAAAGTCAGTCATTTCAGTTCCAAATTTGTCCAAAATATTTTGTTCCATTGCGACCAAATTTGAAAGTTACTGCCATCTGAAACTGATGAAAAGAATTAAAAAAAAAAAAAAAAAGCTTCCACAAAAAGACAGGAGCGGTCTGCCATTTTGGACAGCATTCACGAAGTGGTGAAAAAAAAAATCTGCACCCAAAACCAGTTTGACTGAGCAATTATGACTGAGTAACCTCAAATTTGGTCAATTCCCACAAAGATCAGACCCACAAAAATACCATCAATAATCCATTGATGAAATGATGCAGTGAGTTTCCCATTTTGATTTGAAGAAGCCAATCTGGAACCGTCCCAGATTCTCAAATTTTAAAATAATAATAAACTTGCCTTCAAAGCCAGTTTGACTTAGCGACCTGTAATTTGGTAGGCATTTCTATCATGAGAGCAGCGCCATAAAAAAGTCTGAAGAACTGGTGACTCAAAAGGTCCAGGAAGGCTGCCATTTTGGTTCAAAGTGGCCATTTTGTATCTGTCCCACTGTCGTAAATGCAACAGTTTGACTTAGCAACATGATAGTTAAGAGGCTTTTCGGTCATTTGTGGACCCACAAAAAAGTCTCCAGAAGCTAAAACTGGAAAGAGACAGGAGTTTGCCATTTTGGTTTGAAGTGGCCATGTTGGCTCCATTTGGTTTTCCTTAGCAAGACTAACATTTAGTTGGGATGGCGATCATTCGTAGAGCTCCCCAAAAAGGCTCAAAAAGCTCTACATGAAACTATACAGGAAGTCTGAAATTTAGGTGTAAAGCAGCCATATTAGGGATGCATAAACACCAGCAAAAACAACATTCTAAGAATATATACAGCACCTTGGTCAAATCATAGATCCTCAAAAGGTCATTCTGGGCCTTCCCGGCATACACCCGCTCCCGTTCGCGAGCTACATCCACATCCTCTTCTTCCTCGGATGACGACTTGGTTGAAATAAACCTGGTAAAGGTGGCAAAAACATGTCAACTCTTGCTTGGTGGACGGACACCTGGCAAGTTTTCACCTGGGTTTACAGAAGAACTTGTATTGAATGAGAAGAGTGACGGCAAACATGACAGCTCCTTGGATGGACATGGCGCACAGATTCTTGCCCACCATCTCCCAGCTAAGCGGCTCCTTGAAGCGATCCTCGCCTATGAGTAGGAAGAGAAAAAATATGGATAGTAAGCAGTGCAGAAAAAGGATAAAAAAAAATTTAAAAAAAAAAAGCGTCTTCAATGCTGCCGACTCGATTTTTTTCATTTATTTGAAATCTTTAGACATATTACTTGGCAACAGCTTAAAAATGTCACTTAGCCTTAAAAAAAAAGAACATGGAAATCACTACGAAAAAATATGGATAGTAAACAGTGCAGAAAAAGGATCAAAATAAAAAAAAAAAAAGCGTCTTCAAGGCTTATTTGAAATCTTTAGACGTATTGCTTGGCAACAGCTTAAAAACGTCACTGAGCCTTAAAAAAAGAACATGGAAATCACTACTCTTCATGTCATTCATGCTTTTGTACTTTTTTTTCCACATGCTATGCACTACAATTTTCTGAGCGTCACTGAAGTGCCACTTGCTGATTCTACGGAGCAGATTTCCATTTTCTCACCGAAGCCGCTGAAGAGGTTGGCCATCTTCATGTCATTCATGCTTTTGTACTTTTTTTTCCACACTGAAGTGCCACTTGCTGATGCTACGGAGCAGATTTCCATTTTCTCACCGAAGCCGCTGAAGAGGTTGGCCATGGCCTGGTTCTTGGCCATGTCAATCAGTCCTCGGCCCAGGCAGAAGTGAGGGAAGATGAGGAGCACTTGTTTCACGATGTCATTGATGTATGACACGTCCTGGCAAGTAAGAATAAACACACACACACACAGATTGGAATGATGTTTTTTTTGGACCTCTTCTCTGACGGACAAACCTTAAAACAAAGTCATCGCAACGCAGTCACCAAAGCTTATGTGAGATCAATAGGTGTAATTACAGCTCATCTCTCGGCCGGTTGTTCATCACAAAGATGTGAGAGATTTCTCCACAACGATGATGAAACGCTCAACACCTCCCCCTTACGTCCATTAATCATTCAATGATGCGTTTCAAGGCGCAGGAGTACCAATGCTCTTATGTGGCCTGCCGGCGCGTTCCTGTTCCCACTGCGCGCCGACATTTATAAGCAGGAAGGGTGGGGGTTAAGGGGGGGGGTTGTGACGGCAGAACCGAGACGCGCTGTGCAAACCTCCAATGGAGGAAAATGAGGTAACACCAACGTCTTCCGATGTGCTTCATTTAATTAATTTGATACACACACACACACGCACGCACGCACGCACGCACGCACACACGCACACACGCACACACACACACACACACACACTTTGGCATTTTGCACATTTCATGTATATATGAAATATATTGATAGAAAGTACATTCACAATGTACAATTATGTGGCAGATGCCAAACAGCACATTTGAATTCCCTACGAATCACATTTTCTCAGCGCGATGCGGTTGATTGTCGACATGCTTTGCAGTGCTTACGCGGTCGTCAAAAAGCTCCATGACGAAGGTGGCCACACTGCCATTGATGCCGATGAAGAGGTTGACGCAGGTGAGCACCACATATGCGGTGCTGGGCACGCTGAATACGAACGACGCTGGATACATCATAGGTGTGATCGACCACCTGCGGCAAACAGGTAAACGTCAACATGGCCACGCATATTTTTTTAGTGTGTATCCACCTGGAACCCTTTGCATTAATCAGTACCCAAAGAGTAGGTTTTATCTTCAAAAAGGCACACTTGGTACATTTTGTATCCATCGTACATTACTTTTTTTTTTAATAAGTTATGATTTTACATAAGATACGTTTGTTATACTCTATTCACACATAATCTGTACACAAAACGAAGCATTTTCTGAACACTATTGGTTGAGTACCCGTAGAAAAGCAGTAGCAGAACCAGAGCGGGCAGGTTGGGTGCGGAGACATACGCCTCTTGTTGGAAGCACAGGAAGATGATGACTACGATGACACACGGAATGGCGTAGTTGCACTGCAAACAGCACAAGTTCAATGTCGCCTCTTTCGAGCATGCACCGCGTTCACCGCTGCGGCGAGGATGCCACATACCGCATCCCAGGCGAAATTGGCCAACCAGTAGACGGCCGGGTTGACGCCGCTGACGAACTGCAGGTGCTTGGTTTTGCTCACTCGCTCTTGGATGAGGAAGAGGACGAAGCTGGCGGGGATGAAGGACATGGCGAAGATGACGCAGATGGACACCACCACATCGGTGGAGCTCGAGGCCCTGAGGGAAACGGAGAGTTGAGTGACAGCCCGGGAAGCTGGCATTTGCCTCGGCCACTTCGTGGGCCACTTACAAGGCCACGAAGGACAGCTGCTCCTTGGTCAAGTTGAGGGGATGATTGGACGCTGAGATGCCGTAATGCCGGGCGTCAGCTCCCGCCGGCAGGCCTGCCCTCAGGATGGCGTTGTTGGCCACGTTGAGGAAGGACACCACGCCGTGCCACGCCTGGTTGTAGAACCACACCTGCCCAGGGCATTTAGTGCAAACGACAGCGAACCATCACATCAGGTTTATAGTACGTGTTTAGATGGAGTCATAGAAAATATGTTTTTCGAGAAGTGGATAAGAGTGATCAGGCACGTTTGTCCACCTAGTGTAAAATGCATCACAAATTACATTGCATGACGTTACATCTCAGCCGGATTACTGTGATGCACTTTATTTTAGAGTCAGACGGTCCTCCTTCAAGCATCTCCAGTTGGTCCAAAATGCTGCTGCTCACGTCCCAGCTGGAGCTCACAGGAGGGAGCACAAAATGTCAATTCTGTTTTTTCCTCCATGGCTCTCGGTACATTTTAGAGTTTATTTTAGGATTATTTATTTTGTCTTTAGATCTTTAAATGGTCTCACTGCAGGTGTGGTTGTTTTTAAAGTGTACCATAAATACAATTGATTTATTTTTAAAAAAATCAGGAACTTGTTGACATTCAGACCAAAATAATCCACCCCTGGGGAGATGTTGCGAGTTGTTTTTTTGTTTTTTTTCCAGTTTGAAGGGGGTTAATATGTTAAGGCAACCGTGCATTGTTGCGATACTTCCGCACTTCCACTTTGCGTCCATTCACGATACAAATAGTGTTTAAAAAGTGGGTCAAGAATCTGTTGTGGTTCTGTGAGCCCGCGTGGCGCTCGGGGTGCAAAGAGACAGGAAAAAAAAAAAAAGACAGCGTATGGATGAAAGACAAAAGGCGGAGGGAGCAGGCGCCCTGCTGATGCCACCACACTAATTAGGAGCGTGCGACGCTCGGAGTGTCAGCTACAAACACTCGCTGGATGGCTTTTGTCGGCTCGCTCTCTTTTTCTCGAACTCTCGAGCGCATACACACACACACACTCCCTTACACTTGCACTCATGCATATGCTCTAATGTCCACACACACATACAGACACATATTAAAACTCGCACACACACACACACTCAAGTTTCACACGCACACAACTACCTTCAGATTGTGTTTGGTTCCCAGCCTCTTGAGCAGCGTCTCGGCCGTGCGGAGGAGCTTGTCCGTCACGTTGTCCTAATGAAGACGAGGCAAAACAAGACTTAATTGGACACACTTGGCAAACTTGAACCGAAAGGAAGCGGAATGCGGCAGCAGAGGAGCGGCCAGGTTAAAAATGACCTCGCCTCTGTTTGGGGCCTGCGGGAAACGAGTGTCGGGGAAATAACGGGCTGGCGATTTGCGCCACCGCCTCCTTGCCACGCTGTTCCGAGTCGGTCGTGCAATAGAAGCGGCCACGACATTACACGTGCAATTTAAATGCAAATTGACGCCCCCCCTGTTGGAGCTCAAATTGATCATCAGCCTTACAGAGGGAGCGGATGGGGCATGGAGTGAGGAGAGAAGAACCAAAGAAAGAGTGCGGCATGCCTTTGCTAATATTGCAACAAAAAAAAAAAACCCTGCTTTTGAAAAATCAGGGCCAGTTGAATAACAAAATAGTCCACAATTATTTCAAAAAGAGGCCTTGAGATACTTAAGGCCACTCCCAGCTAAAGTTTACTGTCAAACTAAACTGTAAACTATGAGAATTACAAATTGTGTGTTTAAAACAACCACATCCTGTAGCTTTGCCTACTTAGCTTAATGCCAACAAACAATGCAAAATGAGGTTGACTTGATCACGTAAGCATTGATTTGAACACAAATAATGGAGCAACAGGCGCTATCTTACTGAGCGGGGAATGCTTGTGAGTGTATTTCTTTAAAACGATCTCTCATTGGTTTAGTAGAAATGTTATGTATCAAAACTTCCAGTGGTTTCGGCTACTTGGTATCGGCGGCAACATCCCTCGTACTGAAAGTTTTCTTCAACAGTGGTCTTTCATTTGTACAGTGACCCCCTAAAATCCAAAGCTATTAAAATAATCAAACCTTACAAACTTCACTGGATTTATTTTCTTTCAAAAAAAAAAAAAAAAAAAGAGAAAAGAAAGGAGAGGGCGAAAAAAAATCTGTGGAGCATTAGGGTGGCATGGGTGCTCTTTAGGGAAGCCGAGGCGGCGCAACCATCGTCTTGGGCCTGATTGGTGGGGAATGTTGGCGGTCTTGACTGTCGCCATTTGACGGCCACAGGGTACTTGTGTTTTGTGCCTGTAATGGGCAGCATCTTTCACAGCCTCGTTTTGTTCAGCGGAGATGTTGGCGCTGTTGGATAGTCTGCCTCGGTGCGGCTGGATGGATGGCAGGTGGAGCTTAGGAGTGAGGATGAGGAGAGAGGAGCGTCGGCGCGGGGAGCAGATGTGTATTTGGAACTGAGAGTCGGCGCTTGGAACTGAAGCGGATCTAAATGGGAGAGGAGAACTGGACCGATCTACATAGTTGTCAATGGACGCTACAGCTAATTGTTTACTTTCAAACTTAGCTTAAGTTTGACTTCACACATGCTGTGATCATGATGTCACTGAGCCACTGGTGAAAGGGGACTTTGATTCCCTCCTCTTTCACCAATTACCACAACAAAGCATATGTCGGAATAGTTGTTACGATCATTGTCAACGTTTTATGTGATGTGTTCTGTTCTATTGTTACTTGCTGTTAAATGTTCCGTAAAGTGCTTTGTTACAGCTGCAGCTGCTGTGAAAGAGATGTATTGTATTGTGTTTATTGTATAACGATACTCACAGGGATATATTCTTTATGACTAATATTACAGCATCTTTCTCGTAGAAGGAATTAATTTAACTGGAACCTCAAGACAGCGCCGCAGCAATAATGCTCCTCCATCTACCCGACTGGCCAATGGCAGCCTGATGAGTTTTCTTACCTGGGAGTAATTAAAGATATCGTTCAGGTTCTGGAACGTGGCTTCGATTGCTGCCTCGCTCAGGAGGACTTGGGAGTTAACGGCTCCAACAGAGATCCCGCCGTACCTTTTTTTTTTTAATTGACATTTGGAAACATAAATGCTAATTAAAGACAACAAACAAGTCCATTTCGAGTGCATTCGTTTATATTACCTGGTTTTGCCGGACTGCTCAAAAGTCTTCACCAGGAAGTCGGTCACGTTTCGTCCCGTTAAATCCAGGAGGATGTCGGTTGTGTTCTGGATTCTCTGTAAAAATAAATACATAAAATGAATAAATACAGCATCTTCATAACAGTCAATTAAGCTTGGCTACGAGAGGAAAAAAAATGCCGGCTGATGTCAAAGGAGCCTAATTAGATGCCCTTCTGTGAATAAATGGCTACATTGAAACCTCCAATTAGGAAGACACTCCGCGATGTGGATTCGCCACGCTGCTTGAACCCGTGCGTGTTTGGAGAGTGCTGGCGCGATACTAATTAAAGCCGCGACTAACCGGCCGACATGCGCCGGACGGAGCAGGTTTTGTTAAGACTTTCCCGTTTTAAGGTATCCAACTTCGCTGCCGTGCTAGCAGTCGGGCAAATCTCGAGGACGATCTGGAATTGGAAACGAAGCGCCAAGTGAAAATTTCAAAGCGACTCATTTTTGTGAAACCTGTAAAAACAACTGCGAGAAGTACGGTTATGTCACCTATGCCTGGTGAGCCTTTTGTGCTTTAATTTTTTACCGTATGTTGTTTTATAAAGTTTAAACAGATTTTTGTTGTTGAGTTTGTTTAGTTTTTGTTCATGCGCTTTGATTAAAAAAAAAAAAAAAAAAAAAGTTCTGCACCATTAAAAAAAAAAGATTTCAAACATGAATAAAAATGAGTACAGTATAATGCAGCAACTAGTGAGAAAGAAAAAAAAACCCGCAAAATTCAAAATATTAACACATACCAAAAAAAAAAAAAAGACAAAAAATAATTTACATGAATAAAAATGAGTACAGTATAATGCAGCAACTTGTTAGAAAGAAAAAAAAACCCGCAAAATTAAAAATATTAACACATACAAAAAAAAAAAAAGACAAAAAATAATTAGAAATAATCAATACAACTTATCCGCAGGTAATAACTTACTTGCCTACCCGTACAGATCACTTACTCACTTAAATGTTCGAAAAGAAACAGGAGGAAGTCTAAACTTTTGACATTCCGACCACGGTGTATTTATTTCGTGAGCATACCAGCAGTATTTAGGAATGTTCACGCCTATTGTATAAAATTAAAATATAATCCTATTTACAAGATTCCAATTCACAATGCCGATATGAAGATATCCATACTATTTTATTTTGGACCACTCACTGAGTACTAGTTTTTTTTCACTGAACAGTTAGTTACTCTTACTCAAGCTTTTACTTTTACTTGAGTGCTATGATTCAACTGCACCCGTATTTGAGTACAATTTTTGGCTCCTCTACTCACTCCTGGTGTCAACTACTGCTGGATTCTCGCTTTTGGTGACAGGTTTCAGCCCTGAGGCCCAACGAATTGAGAATGTTCCTTGTAAAGCGTTTGCTGAATTGTTGCTCATCTCTTTCTGAATTTTCTGAACACCATCAGCAGCCACTTTGGCTGTGACCAGAATAACGCTGGCTAAGCGGTCGGCTTTCATCCGTCAGGAGAAGAAGATGTCTTATGATGAGACAAAGAAGAAAACGACAACTAGCCATCTGGTTTAGTAATCAAGCGACAAAGCAACCTTGGCTTATTTGTGAACACACACGCCAGCGGATGCGGCGTGCTTCTAATTATATTGGCCGGGCTCCATATGACGACATCTGTTGTTACAAAACAGCATCGCTCTTTGCATTCAAGCCTGTGGAAAGTTGCAGGTGCGTGAGGCAAATGCAAAAAAAAAAAAAAAAAAAGCCGGCAGTAATCACATCTTCCGGAACCAGATAAGACCACGCCGCGTTCTCGGCGGCGTTCTTTTCGGATTGCCACGTCGCCCCGAGGCAAAATTCAAATGTTATCTGCGTAGGGGGGAAAGAAAAGTCTTTAACATTTAAACATGTTGTGTTCGGCTCTGTGGTCAAGAGTTCTTCCGCAGATAAGCTTTGTCCTGTGCGCTTGCCAAATTGCTTACAGACTACAGCAGTTTGCTGAAGCGTGCAGCTTAGGATGGGCTCTCTGTGGAATAGCTCAAGATTCAAACGTTGTTATAGATTTGGAAGTCGACAAACATTTCCATTGTGGGGAGGCGGGGGGGGGGGTCCCAAACGGACACAAAAATGTAAAATTCTATTGGCATTTTCAGATCAGTTTGGAATTTGATAAAATTTGGGGGTAATTTGTGTATAATTTAAGTAATTTGTGCCCTCGGTCGTGCTATTTGGAATTCAACCTCAACTATGCCCCTGAAGTCAAACAATTTGGAATTTGACTGCATTTCTTGAAGAAATTGTGGAGGTGAAGTCATCAAAGTTGGAATTGGACCAACATTTTCAGATTTTTTATTTTTTTTTTTCGATTTTCTTTGGGTGAATATTGATTCTGACCTGGTCCAGATGTTCCACCTGGTACAGTCACCTCCTGCAATTATTATGTTGCATGTTTGTCCGTATTATTGGTTGGTACACCGGCAACGTGATAGAGGTGCACACCACGGGCTTCTGCCTTGATTTGAGCCAGGAAAAAAAAAAAACCCTGACAGCCCTCGGAGAACTTCACACAGACGGCACGCTCAGACTCGGCTCAGCAATTTGCAAACAAATTCTGTCACTGGCTCATCATCTTATGACGGCAGAGTCAATATCTGGCAATTGACGGTGGGCTTAGCGCCGCCTGCCATTTCCATGGAAACGATGATTTCACACCTCCCACGGTGTCTGTGCTTTTTATTCTTGTCTTCTCTAGAGTTTCTCAAGGACATACTGCGGGATTAAAGGAGCCAGTGAAGAAGCGGGCGCACTTTGTCATGATTTATTCAACGGGAAGCTTTTGGAAAAAGTGTGTGTGTGTGTGTGTGTGTGTGTGTGTGTGTGTGTGTGTGTGTGTTGGGGGTAGGAGGGGGCAAAGAGGATTCATCCTGGCGATGCGCTTGGCTTTGTGTGGGTGGTCTCTGTCAATGAAGTACATTCGGTCATGCCCACACTCCTCCCACTAATCTATTCCTCCTCATTGATCGTCCAGCCACAAAATTGTATTTCAATTGCATACTGTATACAATCTAACGTGACAAATGATGACCCTCAAATCAACCTACCTGAGGAGGCGGGAGCCCCCCTGCAGCGGGCGGACAGTCGGGCAGCATGATTTGGTGTTGAGGAGTGCTGCACTGGCAAGAAGGGGAAGGGTTGGACATGCTCCAGTTGCCCTCCAGAAAGACATCGGCCACCGACTGGTCCACAGATGGCGTGAGCCAATGGGAGATGCGGGAGACACAAGGTAACCCCCTGCGGAGAAATGTTACTGCTAAGCAGGGCGGGGTCGGCGTTGGGAATTTCAGCAAAATATGTTGATTTTCCCAAACTCCCCGTGTATTACCGGGCCGGTCCTGGGCATCACGGCCGGCCAAAGACAACTTTTCAATGAATGCATAGCGGCCGTAGACAAGCAAACCCCCCAAGCTAGTGACATGGGCATCACGGCCGGCCAAAGACAACTTTTCAATGCAAAGCGGCAAACTTTGACTCGACAAGCAAACCCCCCAAGCTAGTGACTCCTGTCGTTGAGAAGATTCCCGGGCCGAATTTTGTTTCCAGCATGTCCCTAATGTTAAGTCACAACTTTTGACTTTTTTTTTTTTTTAATGCAACATTTCAGCTAGTATTAATTTTGGTGTCTGGTAAAATGCTGGATGAGTTCTGATAAGTTTTGTACTAAGTGGCCAGGTCACTTTTAACTCATTCAATTCGAGCCATTTTCATTGGAGCAACCCCCTCAATCCCTGAGTTTTACTGGATTTTGACTGATTTTGCAAGGCTCACAAAATATTTGGTTCTAATGCTATATAAACAAAATAAAGTTTGGACTCCCTTCTTTCAGCAGAAAAAAAAAAATGTTTCTATCTTTTTCCAATCTTCAGCAATCGGAATTACAAAATGGCCAAGTTTCATGGAAATGGCGATTCCTGGGCAAAAAAACGGAGAAAAAGAGCTTTTTGTAAATGCATGCATTTCAATCACGTGAAGCACCACTGCCACCTACTGGTCGCTTTTTTTACATGATTTACAATGCAAACGGCTTATTCTCATTCACAGATTGCATCAGACCCTCCTCCTCTCTATGACGCAAAAAAAGACTTAGACCTAAAAGTACGTCCTTGGTAGGCGGGGCCTAATTTTAAAACGACGTACAAGTACGTCTTGTGGAATGAAAGGGCTAATAATTTAGGCCCATAAAGTTCTACTAACTATTTGATCTGCTACCAAAATATTAAGGTACATTGTGTCTCGTACAGTTTAGAACAAGATACCCAAACTACAGCCCCGGGGCCTTTTGCGGCCCGCCATCCATATTACAGTGGCCCGCGACATGACAAAAAAAAATAATAACAACACTAAAAATGACATTTGACACGGGCCACTAGGTTAGTGAAAAAAGGTGAAGGTGGGCAGAGTGAGAAGGGAGGGTGTACCGTTGAACTTTTCGCTGTCTTCGAAGATACAAATAAGCCATGAATGATGAAAAGGATAACGCAATTTATCTTCAAAACACTGTAGTGAATAAAGATAATTCAATTTTAGAGGCAAAAATAGTTTCTTCCGCTTTGTGCTCTATGGCGGATTTATGAACACATTACATTAATGATCCTCAAGTAACTGAAAAATGGTCACCACACAACAGTTTCTTATCTTTTTTTGGTTCTGAATGTGCAGATGGGATTCGGCTGCTGATAAGAGCAGAGCTGGATCTATCGTATGAGATCGAAGGCTGTTGGCCACCCCAAAATCTTGGAAAAAGCAACTATTTTCCTTCACACCTTTTCCTTCACAGATTAGATTAACAAAAGAATACAAACAATATACCATTGCTTTCGAGACTGCCTTTAGTGTGTTTCACAAGGTTGACAAATTTTAAAGTGGCCCTTTCATCCATGGATGGCCCTCAAACGAAAAAGTTTGGACACGCCGGGTTTAGAATCTGGCGTTACGCAAGGATTCGTATGATAAACAGTGAGTATGATACATGAACCAGCAAAGCAGTTCATTTCTTTCTGCAGCATTTTGGCTTGGCAATCAATTACCGGTTTATTGGCTCATTATTTCCCCATTGCCGATGCTTGAGGCGAAAGTGGCTTTTTACAGATGTTGCTTCCACAGAATCACGCTCATGTTGGATGTTATATATCGCTGATATTAAACATCAAGAAAAACACTCACGGGATTGGGTCGCCATCCATGCAACGTGTTCCAAAGCCAGGATCGTTCACTAGGGTTTCCACCACTTCAGACACCTCTGCGTTTCCTGGTGCGTCGTTACTGCAAGGAATGAGAACATCATCAAAAACATCTGTGAAAGTATCCCCACTTAGAAGCCATAGTCTCCAAGTTGCTGTTGGTAGGAAGGGCGTCCAAGTCCAAGGTCTCACGCCACTAAAGCATGGAGATACTAAGACGTTTAGTTTTCCCTAGTGACCGTCCAGGCTGTCAAGCAGTTCCCACCCCACCCTTTAGCAATGTCTGCCGTTGTGTCTGGTCCAGGTTTTTCCATGGACAACTTCTGGGTTAAGACCAATCATCAGAAGTACCTAAAAATCCATCCCTTTCTCGTAGCTATCATATCCCTTTGGGAGTTGAAGTAGGAAACTTGCTGATTTCCTCAGAGACTTGGTACCACAGGCGTCAACTTTAAGGTCTTGCAAATGTAAGGGCAACAGATCGAAATATTTGGACTTTGAGTTTTAGCCAGTGACCACCCATCTCCTAGTTGGCGTTTAAGGGAAGCAGTGGGTTTTCACTGAGATTGAGTAGCAAAGGAGTCCAGTAATGAGGTCTTGTAGCCATAAAACCTCAGAGTACCAGGACTCTAAACAATCAGACTATTACGGTAGTTTTCCCCAATGTCCACCCAGGCCGATAATATCTGCCTGTAGTAACATTTTTTTTCCCAGGAAAATCTCTGGGTTGTGACTATAATAGCAGCCACTTCCTTGTTGATCATTTTACGAGTGATCGGTGTTCTTAAAGACGCTCCTTAGGGAGTTGGTGGCAAAGGACTCCATATAAGACCTTACTGCCATTAAACATGGGTGCACCAGAATTATAAGAACCTGGACTTTCAGGTTTTCTCGGTGAGCAACAGTCTCTTCAATAGGGTTTCAGAATGATCTGGGCATACACGAGAATTTCCTCAGGGACTCGGTTGCAGAGGAGTCCAATTGAAAGGGTTGTAGCCATAAAACCCGTGAGCAGCAGTACTTCAAAGAATTGAAATTTCCTTTGTGAATTCCATCGAGAAAATCCATCAAATGCTCATCCGTCACGGTAGAAACACTCGTTATGCGTAAAATCTTTGTCCTTTGTGTTGGCTCAAGAACAGACATTTTTAAGCAAATATTGCAGGTTCATAAAGACCACAGATATGGCTCTCGGCCAACAATGACCACAAGCAAGTCGGCCGTGTGGATTATTATAGTGCTCATTGTCTCATTTCGAGGCATCTCCATGAAGGTCGTACGGCCGTTTCCTTAGCCACCAGTGAGCGTAATCGAAGTGGTCCGTTGTAAAAATGGATTATGTGCAGCCATCTGTTCTGCAATTAACAATGGCTGGGTTACCACAGTGTTCCAAGGTAATAAAAAGCAGACTCGGGCATTGCGTATATACACCAGAAAAGGCGGAACTAATGAATCCGGGCACTGAGCAAGAGCTGAGCTATTAGAGGGAAGCTTTAGGAAAGCACAAGGCTAACATACTAACAGAGGCTAGGTGGGTTCAGGACCTCTTCCATCATAATCACTCATCAGTGTGAGGTAAACGGGACAGTTTATGAGGCACGCCTCCGTGGAGAGACGTGGCGCGTGTAGCCACTTTTAAGTGGGCACTTTCAAGGTCACTCGAGCGAAAAGACAATATTCGGTAATTGGTCAGAGCGAAGGTCGATGAGATGTCGTTTGAAAATTACAACTAAGGAAAAAGTCATTATTATAACCAGACTACACCACCATGTAGAAGATCAAAAGGGGCAAGTTACAGATGAAAAAAAGTTTGCTAGAGTCACGTGTGTGCCATGCTGGTATTTCCTCAAATAGCTTAAGCCAGGGGGGTTATTTAGATGATTCGATTAACTCACCTACAGATGGGTTGATGGCATGACTTTGGGATGATACATAACAAATAAAACAAAACCTTCGGGACTATTGAATCAGAAAGGCAAGAACCAAGGCTGACTGAGTGGAACAAATAAGTTGCAGACCATAAACATGGACATACAACAACATTGTGGCGTGATCACGTTATTGCCTATTAATTTGACATACTTTTTAGCTGCTGTCTTGTTGAGCAACTTCAGGGCTCGGCACAATAGAAAAGAACGAGGTCTCACTGTGCCAGAGAGCTAAAATTATATCATACAATATGAGCCAAGGCCACAGTTAATTGTGTTAGGGTAACATCAGGGGAAATAAAATACCTGAAGGGTTGGACAGATCTTTTAGATAAGAAGTTATTCTTTTAAACAAATGATTGGCACTGGGTAATGTCTAAATCCTTTGGGGGTACACCCTTGAGAGTAGCGAGCAATGAGGCGACAGCAATATGCTAATCCAGTCCTCAAAGGATTACGCACATACAGTGTTGGAACTGGGAACTGATTGAGATGTCAACATTAAGTCTCCCAAGGCCTTGTCACTTACTGGGAGATTTCTGATAGAAATGCTGTGAATGAACGGGTGAAGAAACAGTGGTTACCTGAAGAAGGTGGTCTGAGGCGTGCCATACATCCAGGGTTGCAGCTCCAGACTGGGGTATTCGGAGAATGGTGGAACGATGAGTGAGAAGATCAGAGAGAGGCACACAAAAACAGCAGGCAAGACCACCTAAAACGCAACAGCGAGTGGTCAATGCATACGGGATTATCAAACCGGATCAAACACGTGGTCGTGTATCAACACTGGACTGGGATTTTGTTTTTCTGCCACTCCTAAACTACATCTAAAACTACTTCAGTATTGTTGACATTTCCATCCGTCCATTTTCTAACCCGTTTATGGTCACAAGGGTCGCGGGGCGTGCTGGAGCCTATCCCCGGCTGTCTTCGGGCAGGAGGCAGGGCATACCTTGAACTGGTTGCCAGCCAATTGCAGATTGTTGATCGATAAAAATATTGTGAGAAAATGATTAGCTAAATCAGGATGGTTCGTGATGAGTTTCTTTTATTCATTTTTGGGTACTTTTTGCCCCTTAAAAAGGGAAAAAAAATTCTCTCAGACATAATTAGTTTTTCCTAATTCCTTTGTTAAGAGCCGGCTTAAAGGTCACATATCTTTAAAGCTTAATCACTTGTATGTTTGGAGGAGTGGGGGGTGGGGGGCTAGCGGGAGCCAGCGTACGCATGATTAATTGGCCTGGTGCACAAGTTTGCAAATTTCCACGGCTGGAAATCCAAAAACTCACGGCGCCGCAGAGAAGCAAGATAAAGAGCGAGTGATGAGACTGAAACGCTTAATGACAGACGGTCCTCTCTTTTTCTTTCGTTCTCTCTTGTTCTCCCTTATTCTCTGATTTGACAGTAATTGCAGGTGACAGCTGGCACTTCTCCTATTGAGAGCGCAGCAAAAAACAAAGTCATTAAGGCTTCGTAAAAGCCAAAGCACTTGCCATGAACAATGCATGAGTTTATCGGGGATTTCAAGACGAATGGGGCCAGGCTGGACCTGCAATGGCTTTAATTGCAAAAACAGATTAGTTTTATGACGAGGCTCATCACGCTCAAGCGAATTTCCAGGATGAATATGCAATGGCCAGCGTCGATTAGCGACTGGTCACCAATTTGTGTGGGATGTTAATTATCGCTTTTGCGTTTTGGGGGCCATAACGTCGCCACACAAAACACAGATACTTGGTGACAATTTTTTGAGAGCAAATGAAACAATTTAGAAGCCAGGGTGTGCCTCAGGGCTCTGCCCTAGAACCACTACTACTTAATTTCGAGTCTTTTATACTTCACATGTAAATTAAGACACAAATTTGCACTTTTTTCACAGATGGTGCTCTGACTATAGTATGCAAATGTGAGTGTCAAGCCCTGCCCAGTGACCATCTTTCATGTTACATTAAACAACGCTTTTGTGTGCCAGGGGCCATGAGGTCTCATTGAGGAACAAACGTGACAAAGGGAGGGAGTTTTTAGCCATTTTGAAGCAACAGTGTACCTTCTGACCTAGAAAGCGTTGCTATTCATGTTTCATCCTGTTTTATACTTACGTTAATCAATACATAATGTTATTTTTTTTCACGCAGTTGGGGCTCTAAATTTACAGCTCGGCATCCACTCTAATCATATGTTTTCACCCCAACTTGTTATTTGATACATTTGGACGTTTGGTAAAACTGTTCCTCATTCCCTATTATTATTATTATTTTAGAATTAAATCTTCACACAGCAGCTGTCAGAATTGATGACATCTGATAGCTTGCCGCAATTATCATAACAATTAAATTGCTGTACCTTTGTAAATGCTCCTTGTGAAATGAATTGTGACGCTTCGGAAATGTGTGCTGTTTATTGGTTTTGACTTTGGAAATTATAGAGAAGAAAAACAATATAGAGGTTCGCTTAGTGGGCTAATTGCGGCCTGTCATGTGTGCAATTATGGCATGGTTGTATTTAATACGCGACTAATGAAAACACATGATTAGCATGCGACATGAAAGGAAAAAAAAAAACTTTTCCTTTTGAGTGCCAATCACAGACATTAGGTAGGCTCGTTCCCAATCACCATGGAGACACAATGACCGTATGAATGCATTGCCTTGAATAACATCATCACATCTACATTGACTGATGACTTCCAATTCAACAAATTAATGACCACTTTGGCGACTCCATTTTCCCCACCCTCTAAAATGCGCATACAGGGGCTTTTTGAACGACATCAGGATCATCTCAGTTGATATAGCTGACATTGGTTCATTGATTACGGTAAATATCCCCTGATACTCGGACACAATCGGTTTGGAAGCTATACGAGTAGGTGATGGTGGCTTATGGAAGATGTAGGCCTACTCCATCACGCAAGGCCATTTTTTCCATACAAAACTCACAAGATCCGCCCAAGCATCCCTTTTGTGTTCCCCTTCATTTCATCAATATGACAGACGGAGGCCATTACCTGGGCAATGAGTCCCTTGCGGCTCCTCCGGGCGTGGTGGAAACGCTTGATGAAGAGAGCCAAGAACTGCCTCCTGATCAGCTCCCATCCGCCGAGGACCGTCGAGCCCCTCCCGCTGACCCTGGCGTCCCTCTGTAAACCTGATGTGGACACGGACCCCTGCCGGGTTGTTTATCACACCCGGGACCACAAGCGTGCGGAGTGTAATGAGCTGCTCAGGTGCTGCGTCAAACGTACCACCTGGCTCCTTCTACAAGATTTGCATGGCTTCGAGATTTTTCTATGGTGGATAACCTTTTCTTTTGATGACAATCCGCACGTTGGAATAAAATGTTTGGAATATTTCATTTCAATTTAGCTTCCACTTTAATGCATTAGGTATTTCACACTTTTTAAATGGGAATTTAGAATTTCTGATGATAATTAACAGTAAAACTTTCACCCAAATCCATTTTATAGACCAGGGACAAGCTTTGAACCTTGTATTTTTTTTTCTTATCACTTAAAATGTTTTTTATGATGATGATTATTATTTCGGAGGCCATTATGTCTCCTGACAAAAAAGATATATGCTGACAAGGGGAGTTTTTAGCCAAATGTAAGAATCTTGAAACAAGGGAGTGCCTCAGAACTCTGTCCGAGAACCACTGCTACTTGTTTTTTCAGTCTTTTTTACTTCATTTGTGAATCCATACACCAAGTCCTGAACCCTTGGAGACGATACAAATGAACTTCAATTCACCTGTATTATTATTACACTTATTGCTATTATAGTTACCATCATATGGATGGGAACAATCCCCTGTTAACAGACATCGCTGTTCATTTTGTCATGACAATCCATAACCACATGTATAATAAGGAAATGATTTAAAAAAGAAGTCAAAAATATATTCATCAAAAAAACCTTTAAAAAATTGACTGCTTGCATGTTAGCATTTTGTCAATACTCATAGGATTCCAAGGCAAGATGTAGAACTTTCTTGATATGCTTTAGCGCTTCCACCACTTTGGTTGTTAATTTACTTTTTATCAGCATAGCAATTGGAAGCATGTTAGCATTATAAACTAATCATAAACATTTTTGGAGGAACAAACTTACCTTCCACTTGACTAGCAAACATTTCCATGTCACCTGCACGGAAGCACAGAAATGCAAAAGCATGTTGAGTGAACGAGCTCAATTATTAAATGCTTCCACTGCACTTTCTTTTTTCTTGTTTTTTTTTTTTTCAGGTTCATATTCTGAAATTGATGCAATGAGACTTGCCGCTCGCCTCCTTTTCCGTTTCGGGGTGAACGGCGGTAGCCGAGATGCTATTCCGCTTCGTTGCTGTGGAAATTAAAAATAAAAGATGCCGTTTTGGCTTGACATTAAAAAAGTGCTTTTAAAAAGTCAGTGGATTATTGCCTGCAAAAGGGACTTACTTGAAATGTCTGCTGCATCGACTCCTGTGTCTTCAGCTACCTTCAAAAAAATCTGTGGAAAGAAAGTGGGCAGAGCCCTATCTTTAATCACGCTGCTTTTTTTTTTGTTTTGTTTTTTGGTGGTGGTGGTGGGGCGGGGTGGTGAAATTTCAAATGGAATGTTTTGTACTCCCATTTGCCATACCTCTTCCAGCGTGGTGTCAGAGATGCCATAGCTAGTCAAACCCAGGTCGGCCAAGGCCAGGTCCAAATCCTGGAAGAGCCGAGCAAATGTGCCGTCGTGGGCGCCGTCGTAGGGCAGGACGTAGGTGAGCTCCTGGCCGATACGCTCCAAGAACAGCGCCCGCGGGACGTGGTGATGCACCAACTGACCCAGCGCTGTCAAATCTGTCCAGAAAAAAAATAAAATAAAATTAAAAAAAAAAAAAAAAACATATAGATGCACTGGAAATCTTAAATTTCCAGGACAAATGTTGGACTAGTATTGTCCATTTGGATCATACAAAGGTTTTCATCTTTTGTTTTTATTCCTTGACTTTCAACTCAGCATCAGACCGTGACCTTGTTTTAGTGTTTAATTTTTTTTTTTCAGTTTATTGTTTTGTTTTAGAGTTGATTGTTTTCTGTCTGATTTTGATGTATGTGCAGCTGCGATTATTCTTTAAAGTGCTCTCAAATTAAAGTCGCGTCAAGTTGAGTATTGAGTAATCTGACGAGACGAGAGTTTTATTTTTTCGTGAGACTAATACCATATGAGGATGAAGTTCTTTTTTTCAATTGCAATCAGATGGAGAAAAAAAAAGACCTGTTTGGAGGGAAAAACAAGTCGTCATTTTACAAGGATTAAGTTAAGGGAAAGAAATGAGATTAAAAAAAAACCCACACTGACAAAATTTTAATCTGACAGGCGAACAAGTCATTTTTTTCAGGACAACAAGACTGCCACGGGGTTGAATTTGTAAGAAATGAGCTTTATTTAATACATGACGTTGCTCTTGTACCTGCAGGATGGACTCCGCTGTAGGTTCGACTCCCGATGGCGGCGTGGTCGTGGGCACCGCCTCTTCTTGAAGGACGTTCCCGCTCCTGCCAGAAACGCAATTGGATTAGACGCAAACGGGCTTGGCCACTTAAAATGATGAACAGTGACTCCTCAACAACTCCGGCCTCGTGCTAACCGAATAACGGCAGCTGCGTTGTCCACTTAATGGCTCCAATTAAAGGCGAATGTGCCAAACACATTTGCTTTGCTGCCAGTTAATGATGACGGTGATCAACGGGTCAAACGAGCAGTCAAACATTTGTTCAAGTTGTGTTTTCGGGGTTGGCAAGGCAGTTTTATTCATATCAGACACAAAGTAACTCGGTGTGCTTCACATAGTTACAAAACAGCATTTCAAGGCAAGAGGCAACTTTCAAACAGAAGCCACAAGAATTTAAGAGGTTTCAAAGCAAAATAGAGAATTTACTAAAATTACAAAAATATAGTGCAACAACATGATTCTGGGAAAATTGGTGATAAAAATGTTTGAAGAGACCTTATTCATAGATATGGGGGAAAAGCATAGCTTTTAACCCGGATTTGTTTACACGTGGGGCCAGCTTCAATTTTTGTGAGCATCTTATTCCATTTGTGTGCAGCATAGCAGCTAAAAGGCTGATGCACCACGTTTGCTTTTAACTCCTGGCTCGACTAATTAAGCCCAGTCTGCTGAACTCGTTACCCTCTTGGGTTTGTATTCCGTGAGCATTTATTTCATGTATTCAGGCCCAAAGCCATGTAATCTACATTTTTTTTTTCAAGACAGAAACATCATAATTGCACAACAATGAAAACAAATCTGGAGATAATCGAAAAACAAAATAACATGAAAATGGTTGTTTGATTAAAAAAAGGTCATATTTTCTTGGAAAAAGTGTGATTACATTATAATATCATGGATTTTATGACTCGTACGCAAATATCGGTCGGCCATTTTGTCTGCGTGTGAGCGTATGAGCAAGTTTTTTTAACGTCACTTTTTTTCCCCTTGCCCAAAATTGAGTTCAAAGTGAGCTTCAGACAAGCTGTCGAGCATACAATTTTGTCTGACCAAAGCTGTTATCAAGTGTGCGTACCTTGACCAGGGTGAGGTAGTAGCCTGTGCCGAAGCGTTTCTTCAGGAACAGGGACGAGCCACAGCATCGCATCCTGCCGTGGGCGATGATGGCGATGCGGTCGCCCAAGATGTCCGCCTCGTCCATGTGGTGCGTGGACAGGATGATGGTGCGGCCTGAGAGTAGGGTTTTTGCTTTTAGCCGCTCATCGCCATGGCAACAAAGCAGCGCGGTACACGTGGGTGTGAATTAAAATCTTGATCGAGCCCGGGGTAACCATGCAACCGGCTGGCTCATTTTTAGCACCTCTTCTTTTTTAGGGGTGGAATAGAGAGGCATCAAACTGAGTGAGCAAAATCACTTGGTTAGCATTGGAGGGGAGGCGTGACGAATTTGAACTGATGTGATATTTCGCGTAAAATTATTCCAGTATTATGACCAGTTTACAATGAGGAAATGACAAAATTATTCCTTAAAAGTCAAAATCATGAAAATAGATTTGTTTTTCCACCCTCAAATGTAATTGTAGAAAGGTAAAGTTACATTTTCTCCAGACAAAACCTTGTACGAGATTATGGTCTAAATTTTCCAGAACAAAAGTCGCAAATTTACGGCAATAAAATTCATTTTTTCTTTTCCAGAACAAAAGTCACAGTCTTCTGAGAATTTTTTTTTCAGGGAAAAAAATAATTGATCATGTAAGAATAACATTTTAAAATTTTAAGCACAAATGTAAATTGTACAAGAATAAAGTTGCACTTTCTCAGGACAAAAAGGCACAATTTTATCGGAAAATATTTAATTTATACAGCAAAAGTGAATCTTGTATGAGAATGAGGTCAAAGCTGTCATAAACATGTAAGTGTAAAAAAGTAGTCATATTTTGTTGACAAAAAAACAAAAAACAAAAAAACAGCAACATTTTCAAGGACTATTGTAAATCATACAGGAATGAAATAAGAAGGATTTTTTTTCCAAGCAGTCATCAACTTTACTGCTATAAAAATGAGACCTTATTTTCGAAGTACTGGGACTTTTTTGTTTGTTTGGGGTTTTTTTGGGGTTGAAGTGCAGCAGTGCTTCATCTGGCAAACGACACGCGGCTCCTGCCGTATGTGCTAATGAACATGTGTGGCATGCTACGGCGTGATAGGAAACACCCACGAATGCCTTCCGCACCTTTGCCATTGCGCTCACTGTGATGTCTCTCTAATCCTCCACAAAAAAAAAAAAAAACGCAAAAAAGAGAAGAAAAAATCAACTTCAACCTTTGTCTTGCTTATTTAAATAGAATAATTGTAGCCTTTTTCTTCTCTGATGTGCAAGACAAGAAGTGGAATGAAATGAACCATAACCTAAACCTGATAAGCTGTCCACTGTAGTGACCGCGGTCCCTGAAAGGTTTAACATGACCCCAATGATTGTTTTGCGGCCTAATCAGAACACACGCAAGCTTTTGCCATGACAACATGCCGCGATGCGTTTTTCGACAAGCTTCACCGTTGCGACTCAGATTGGCAAAGTTCAAAGGCCTTTGGTGTTTCGGCTTCTGATGGCGTACCTTGTTTGTATTTGAGGAGCAGCTCCCAGATCCCCCTGCGGGCGTAAGGGTCCACCCCCGCTGTGGGCTCGTCTAAGATCACAACTTTTGATCCTCCAACAAAGGCGATGGCCACCGACAGCTTCCTCTGCATACCGCCTACAAACATTCATCTGCATGTCAGTATGTGATTTTGTGTGTGTGCGTGTGTGTGTGTGTGTGTGTGTGTGTGTGTGTGTGTGTGTGTGTGTGTGTGTGTGAACAGCAAGTTTCCTTTCATCATAAAAAAGGTGGTTCGCCGTTGCCCGCTGCGAGTTATTTTAGTCATCGCTCGTCGTGGCCCATCAACCTCGGAAGCCAGATTCCATCCTGCCCGGCACCACACCACTGCTTTTAACCAATTCAGTGACCCAGCTTGTGAAAAACGGACTCAAATCACAAATGTAATACATTTGGTCTATTGTCCTCGAATATTTTATTATTTACAGGAACATTATTCACGTCAAAGGACAACCTTCAGCGGTCCGACTCCGACTTCAGACTCACAAAGACAAAGTAGTAAAGGGCTGCTGTTTTTGTTAGCCACCCACCTGACAGGTTCTTAGCCAGGTCTCGTCTCTTGTGTGGCAGGCCGACATCCCGGATCATCTGCTCCATCTCGGCGTCCACCTCGGCGCGACTGCGTCCCTTCAGACGGCCGTAGAAGTAGATGTGCTCCTCCACTGTTAGCCTGCAAATGGAAAATAGCTCAATCGTACGCACATAAAGTTGAAACCATCATGAAAATAAAGTAGGTCGAAAATACGGTGAGGAATTTCTCCGGGAGAAACGCAGAATATTGCGAAAAAAAGGTGCCGTTTTACAAGAATAAATGTGTAATATTATGACGCTGATGAAGTAAAAGATGATGTAAACAAAGTCAAATAACACCGATCCCCACATTTTTACGACCTTTCTAGATTTTTTTTTTTTTTTTTTTTGCACTGACTCTGAATTTGCCTTAGTTTTTTTCTCTAACACATCAGGTTTTCAGAATAAGATAATTTTACAGTATAATATTCAATATATGTAATATACATATTACATAATAATACATGTAATATTCATGAATCAAGGGCAGGCTCAGCAACTGAACATCATAGTTACAGTCACAAGTTACAACGTATTGCACAAGCTTTGAGAGGTCACACAAACAAAACACAAAATGAAAATATCTGAAAAACCCGGATGTGCTAGAAAAAAAAAGCCAACGGCATTTTTTTAAAAATCAGTGTCAAAAAATATCTTTTGGGACACATAAAGCCCATCGCTGATTAAAATATGCTCTTAACTAGTGGGACTGAAATTGCTGAGAGAAATTTGCCAAGAGTCCCATTGCATTCAGAATTATGTTAACAAATCAAAAGCATTACAAAAAAAAAAGAAAAAAAAAAGAAAAAAATAGGATGAGAATAAAGCTGAAATATTACAAGGGGGACCCGCAATATTCTATGAAAAAAAATGTCTTCATCCTTCTCCAAAATTAAAACGAACCAAGCGTTAATATCGTTGTGAAAAAGTGAGAAACGGGTAGGTTTGCTCTTACTCATTGAAGAGGACGTTGTGCTGGGGGCACATGCCCAAGTGCCGCCGGGCGCCATCCACATCTGTGCGGATGTCGTAGCCGTTGATGACGGCCGTGCCCGACGTGGGCGGGAAGAGCCCCGTCAGAATTGACCTGCGCGGCGGGACGCGTGGAGTCTTGTGAAAACAATTTCTTATCAGAGAAAAAAAACGTAAAAGTCGTCACGTGCATATAACTAATTAATTTATTTGACTGAGGTGTTTATTCGCTGGATGCATGCATCATCGTGTAAAATAAACACCAGCTTCAAATCAAAGGTCTCCCTCTCATGACGTGAAAAAAAGGGCAGAAACTGTCATTGTGTACCTCTAGTAGACACTGTGCCGCACTGTGGGCATCATGCAGGAAATAAACACCTCACTCAAATAAAAGGTCACAATTTTTTTTTTCCATGAGGAAAAATGGGTCGAAACTGAAATAACTTCCCTTTAAAACAATTATTCAGCTGCTGTGTCAAGTATGAGGCATCCCTATCCCCAGTGCAAAGAGCAGAAAATGTAATTAAGTCCGTCTAATACAATTACTCACTTCATCTATAAAATAAATGCCTCTCTCTAAGAAGAGGTTTTCCTTTCCCCAATTAGGAATGACATTATTCTCATAGACACTGTGCCCCAATTAGACCCTGCATGCATCATCCCAAAAAATGAACACCGCACTCAAATAAGAGGCTTTCCCTTCCCCCCTGTCAGAAAAAGAACTTGCATGGTGGTGGTTTTTCCAGCTCCGTTGTGGCCCAGGAAGGAGGTGATGTGGTTCTCGTAGAAGTCGACACTCAGCCCGTCCACAGCCAGCTTGTTTCCAGTTTTGTAGATTTTGACCAGGTTGCGTACTGACACCCCAACTTTTAGATTGGGGTCCGATTTTTCCAGGTAATCTTCGTAAGAGACGGAAGAATGAGATGGATGCGATCATGATGAGCATGAGAGCAAAGTCATCATATTGTGAGGAAAAGTTGTCCTTTCCTTCGACAAAATGCAAAATAACAAAGTCTCGACGTGATGTGACTGCTATGAGAAATAACACCGTGGAAAAGCCTAATTGGATGCTGCTGAGCAAGTCGGCACCGAAAATAGGCTGGAATGTTAATTGGAAACAAGAGTGCCTTCTTCATCGCCCGATGCAACAAGGAAGGCGATTGAGTTTAGTCACCTGCACGTCTTACACTTCAAATGTGCCTGCAGCAGCGCGCGAGTGTTTGCGCACGTGCGTGTTACATGTTACTACCATTGTGCAAGCAGCCGGCGGCGTCCTTTTGTAAGTGGTCGCCAGGCACGGAGGGCCTGCCACACCAGTAAGATGCCGTGAATGGGAAGTACCATGGCCTGGGGATCCCATACTGGCCTGGGATCAAGCGCAGATGACACAACATGACAACATTTTTAATAATGCCTTCGTTACAATCGAAATAAAAGTAAAAAAGTGATGTCATATATTTTACTCTCCCTTTCATTATTTTTAATGTCGTCGTATACCTGGGAAGACGTTTTCGATGTACCAAGTGAGCGTCCAGTAGAGGGCGGCGTCAAACAGCATCATGGCGATGGATACGAGGAAGGTGTAGCGCTCGTCCTCGTCGGGACTCTGGCTCATGTTGGACCACTGGATGCCGACACCTTGCTCCTCGTATTTGGAGAAGCTCTCGCAGCCAAAACCGAACGCCACGCAGGACAATAAACTCTGAGGGGAAACAGGGAGGCTTGCGTGACTGTTTACAGGTAGCAAAGCACGCGGGTACACAGGTTGTTTGATGCCGCGTCTCATTCGGGAACACCCATAAAAAAATGCTTTTGCATACCCATTCAAAACAAATCATAAATCCTACACGGAAGGGGGAAATTGCCAGTGACGCTTTTGCCCATGAAACATTAGCCACTGCCGCCTATCGCTCTGCATCATCGTGTTGCTTGCCAGCTGCCGCCTCACGCCTCATTTGCTCGCAGCATTTGTGCTCCGGAAGAAGCATTTCCTGCGGCTTCCCAGGCAAACCGTCACCGATTCCGACGCGGCTCGGGCCGGCAGATTCAATGGCGTGTCACTGGGGGATGTCGTAACCCGTAACCCTTCTGTTATGTTTGTTTCTTTGGTTGTTGGTGAGTAACCGACACATGGAAGGGTTAAGCGGTACAATGGATTATCTCTTGGGAATATAACAACAAACGATCTAAAAAAAGGTAGGAATAATTTTCCTTTGGGACAGAAGAGTATTAGCATCAAAGATAAAAGAAAGATTGTGTAATATAATGGGGTTTTCTCTTGGGAGGTAGCCTCAAAGGCTAACATCTTGGGATGATACAGATAGAAGTTACCGGAATTAACCTAGTCAATAACATGGACCCTCCTAAGACTGAAGTAGATGCAAGAAATTCCGTGTTTGACCCAGAAAGCAATCGACATTGTCTTTAGAAAGTTACCATTTCACTTTCAGGAAAAAAAAAAAAAGCAACCCGAGGAGTTCTGAATAAGTGGGTAGGACTTTTCCGTATGAAATTGCGAAGGAGATGCATTGCTGGTATTCTTAGACATAAAAGGATTGCTACCTCGCTAGGAAAAAAGAATGAATGCAAATATGCCCGGAGCTCCAGTTTGGCACACAGTCGCCATCTGGTCATTGGAATTCAGGTGGAAAAAAAAAAAAATCCATTCCGATAAAAGACTTCATTATCATGGACAATGTAAGAGGAGAGCATGTATCCCTTGACATGGTGTAATATCATCCACACTCGACGAGAGAGGAAAAACCGCCGGCCTGATAAAGTGCGGGCATGATCTGGATAGCGGCGCGGTCAGGGAAACATTGCTTATGCTAATTAGCGGGCTAAAAGGCTATCCATTTTGGAGAAGCAGGGGGGGAAATAAAATCTCAGCACTTTTAGGTATTATCAGGGCTTATGTATTAAGTGAGCAGGAGAGTTTTTGCTGAAGGCTAATGGTTAGGCAAACCTCCCCTTGTATACTGCCACTAATTGCAATTAAAGGCAAATCAAGTTAGATTAATGACTGAACCAGAGGCGATTGCTCTAAGACTGCAAGGGAAGTTCAGCTTCCCCTAAAATGTCAAAAAGTAAGTGATCAAATATATGTGTGTACGTACAATTGTGTGGACATGGCATTGATTAAAAATGCACTACAACGCGCTCAACTTTTGTTTCGAATCAGCTTCTTATGACTGGTTACGACGCGACTCTCTTCTCATTCATTCCCGCAGCGTCACTGTGCTTTAAACTGTGTGGACGCTGAGCGTCGACCGCGCGGACGCTGGGCGTCTAGAGAGTTCAGTGTTGGTTTGCCAATGCATTGAAACGAGACGAGTCATTGGATAAATGCTGGTTTTGTCCCGCCCATCGGACGCTCAGCGTCTCTGGGAGTCTATGGACAGTGGGCGTTTAAAGGCTGGCCCGGAAGCTCAGCTTTTCTGCATGATGATTGGATGATCTGTCTGAGGCTGAATCTCTTTTTGATTGACAGCGAAATGAGCCAATCACCGATCTTATGGTGAAGGCATCCTATTCATTTTTTTGAAAAGAAACGGAGAGTAAAATTCACGTATAAATAAACGGACAGATTTTTTGATGTAGGCCGAAATTAAACTTCCCCTCCTTGACAGACCAGCATCCGCCACTGGACTGAACAGAGGCGTGGAAAACTTAATTCTCATCTAGAATCCAACCCATTTCCACAGAGATTCACACCAAGCATAATTCCTCACCTCGACCTCGAAATTTAACATTGTACTCCAATCTCTAATCTGAAACACAAAGACCTATCCCGAAATGTACCCGAACATAAAACCCACATTCCTAACCTTGAATCCTAGAATTTAACTCTTAACCCAGAACTCTCATTAACCCGATTGTAACTCAACAGTCTCTAACACCAACAACCCTAACACCAAACCCCTACCTCTAAAGGTCTGAACACTAACATCAAAGTGTAACGCTAAATGCTTTACCCTCACTTTTAACCTTAATCTCCAATCAAAACGCAAAGGCTTTAGCCTCTTAATCATAACATCTATCACAAACATAACTATTCCCCAAACATCGCGAACCCTAACATCTAAACTGTATCCTACCCAGGCCAGTCATGTTTTCCAATTTGCAAATACCAGTAGAAATGAGTACGTCCACTCAAATGGTTTTCTTAATGATTGAGGGATCGAGACTAGGAAGTCATCGGTCGCCCACTACAGATGACGGCTAAAAGCTACGTCAGGTGCCAATAAAAAAATATTACGAGCTGTCAACATCGATTGCTGCTATTTATTTGACTTATGAGAAAAATGTCCATGTGAGTTGTTGAAATGGGCCGGGGAAGGCAACGCGCTCGTAGTGACAATCTCTCCCCGGCGACAGTCGGGATTGGGAAAGTCATACGTCTTTGCCTGCGGAAAGGACATCTTGAGGACAAATGATTGTGACACCGTCATAAAGGTCACAGAAAAAAGGCTGAAAGTTGATCAGTGGTTCATCTTACAGGACGGGACTTTCTCCGAGTGTGTAACGCATTTCCGAGAGTAACGTGAAGGCTTTTACTCGAGTGACAAGCAACCCTTAAAGGTACAATGATTTTGCTCTTTCAGTGTCAACCATATCTATTTTTTTCATGAGGAACAAGCGACATCCCCGAAGTCTTACCACGGCAACCTTGGCTCCGAAACCCAGGACATCCCTCCAGGCGTAGCAAAGGACGTGCGGCAGGTAGAGGACAAAGTAGATGAGTCCGCCGCACGCCGCCGCCAAGTTGGCCTTGGAGAAGAAGACGCTGATGAAGAAGCACTGGGTGACGGTGGTCAGGCAGAACACCAACAGGAAGACAAAGATGACTGTGGGGTCACTGTACTGCAGCACTTTGCCGTACTGGGGGTACAAAGAAAGCGTTGCCAGTGGACAGCACAAGAAGAAAACGTGGTCAAAATATACGGTGAACATGAGGGACTGTCTGGCTAATTCAAACTAGATTCAGATTTGTGTTTTTTAAAGTCATTCAGAGGAGGACCCACATGCCTGAATTTTGAGATTTGAAACAGTCCAAAAATGGCGTGATTAGAAAAAGAGAATGAAATTTGTGGGATGCTGATCATTTTTTTGAACAATCACGGTCAAAAGAGACAATTTGCGTGGCCATAAATTATTGGAACTGGAAAAAGTTGAATTCAGAAAGCATGATTATAACTTGGAAGGATTATTTTAGCATGATCACGACTGGAAACGGCAAGGGGCTCGAGACTGAACCACTACGTCACCTCTGGAATGCTATTTGTGTATAAGGCTAATAACAAAATGCATTAATTTTCTCTCACTCTGTTCCAGAGCGACTCTTCAAAATGAGGCACTGGGTCCTCCTGGAAGCATTTCGAAATCATTGGGATCACCTTGAGAATAAGCGCAAGGAGCAGCGAGCTGATGGCCAACGGCAGTGCGCTGGACACGGCCCAGCTCAGCCAGTCGATGGCACTTGTCAGGCCCATGATCCTCACTGTCTCCTTAAGCCTGGCTTCTTTCTCCATAACGATACTTTTAACGACCATTGCCACTGAGTAGATCCAGGCCAGTGTCATGTATAAGGGCAGCGAGCGCACCAGAGCCCGAAGGAACCTGAAGGGGCCACACCAAGACCAGACAAACACTTGGTTGAGACACCACTTGTCAGGCTGGATGTTGAATCGAGATGGCCGCGGTGGTCCAATTCCAAACGTCCTTCAGGTTGTTCCACATGCTTTCAAAATTTAGCAAATTGACCAAAGCATTGCGGGGGACACAGCCACAGCGAGCCTACTTGTGGTTCAACACAACAACTAAATGACCAAAGTTCCAACTCCCTTGCTATTTTCGGTTTGACCCAAACAAGGTTGGTGGTGGACCACACTCAGCGATAGAATTTATCGCAGCTCATGATTTTCAGTTGAGACATCCACGAGCAGTTTGTGAAATGGAGGCAATAATTTGGCACGCGCCAATGACACAATTCTGACATTCTCTCCAATGTCACCCCTCTGAAAATGAACATATGATATCGACGCTGTCACAGCTTCTTCATACACAGACCAATGACACTGACGCATCTACCCAACACAAGGAACCACTGGATCAGTCAGCAAAAGAACATGCCGAGGTTATGGGCGACTTGAAGCATGAAACGTTGACTTGCGGTGTAGAGCTGAACTTTCGGATAACCGGACGGAAGAGCAGCTTGGGGACATTTACACCAATCGACACAACTTACGGAACTGAACCGGATGACAAAAAAAAAAAAAAAAAAACACTTCAAAATGATGACAGGACCGGTTGTTGCCCCACCTTAATCCAAAAGCATCCTAATGATAATTACTGCTGAACTCGCCATTATTGTTAATGCACCAAAGCAGGCTGTGAAATGATCATTTAGAGCTCGTCGTTTGAATACACATCGTTCCTCCAAGGCACTCGGCTAACTGGATTTATTGTTATTAATGTTTACACATTGCTCGTGGCTTGCAAACATATTACGTTGACGGAGAGAGGGGGCCGGGGGGAGGGAGGGGGGGGGGGGTTGATTTGCACCCCAGCTGTTCAAATACCCACTTTTATTTACCAGACACATTTCACAATTATGCCGCAAAATAATTGATTCGGGTGACGTGAACTAGCAATCATCTTGAAATCATTAACAATGCCTCCTGCAACACAAGGATGTGCTCTCTTTCAACGGAACTCAACGGCGCTGTGGCTGTGAGCGTTTTGTGTGCTCGACTTGGTTTTTATAACGATTAAGAGTCCCGACACCAAGGCCGGTGTTGCTATACTCACGCCGCACAGTGAAATGACAGCGAGTGTCCCGCTGGCCTTCAGATAATCAACTCTAATTGCAATCAAGAACACATGCGGTGCCAAATATCCACGGCTCTAATTGCATAACAGGAAGCCCGTTTGAAAGCAAAGGTGATGCAACGGCGGGAAATAACAAACGCCGCTGCTGCGATCTTAATTTTGATAAATTGCACTTTGTGTTGCAAGAGAGAAATAGATCATTGCAGGGAGGGGGGGGGGTAAGTCATGGTGGGCAATTATTTGACCCCACAGTTCAGTGATTGATGATTAGCAAGGGGATAACAAAAACACAAGGCGCGACCCGACGGACCCAATTTCGGGCGTCAGGTTGTCTGGAATCGGTTTTGATCCGGCGTCCATTCGCGCGCCTCCTTTCCACTGACCTTAATCAGGACACTAAGTAGGGCGCACGGAATGGCGAGCAGAAGCATGTTCTCGGCGAATCTCGCCAGCCAAAGGGCGCTGTCGCGCACGCCCACTGCTCGCAGAACCTCCTTGAGCCGCAGCTCCTTCTCCAAAACCAGGCCTTTGATGGTCATGCACGTGGTGTATATAAAAGCCAGGACCAGGAACATGGGGAAGATTCCGCCGAGGCTTCGGACGAAGCTGCAAGACATTTTGAAGAAGTGCGTTGACAAAGCGGGGAACTGTCACATTGCAGGGTGACCGCACGCCAAAACCGACTGAAAGGCTTCCAAGATGCTCAAAGATGCTGTCCACACCTCGCGGAATGTAAGACTCAACGCTTGGTAGGCAACGCTGTGGGTATTCCTCTGTGCCTGCTGTTGTTTTGGTTGGCAAGGGGCTTAAAATGGAATCAGAAATGAGCTGATTGTGTGTGAGCAAGAAATAAGTGCAGTTACTGCCTGATTTTCACCAAACTTTGAAAGAAAAAAAAAAGTTCAAATACACAAAAAAATTGCCCGAGGTAGTTTGAATCACTGGAGTACAAAAATGACAATATAACAAAATAAATATTTGGGATACAATAATGAAGATGGTAAAAATGGCACTGTGTCTTCTTCCATTTTTTTAATGGTCCTGCCAATAATAAAATGCCCGGCAATTTAAAAAAAAAAAAAATTCCATTGACTTTTTGGAGAGATGACTGGCTGGCATCGCCTCAGACTCAAGCTTATTCGATCCATGTTGCAGTTCGAGAAGAAAAGAAAGACATTTGCTCTGTAGACAGACGGGCGTGCCGCCGTTAATGCCATAGCTGTTATTTACGAGGCAGACTGAGCTAACCTTCATAAACTCAATCAAACCCTTTTGCGAGTTTGCTCATGTTAGCCAGCTGCGGTGAGTGACTCCATGCTGTTACAACAGCAATAAGGCCGTTCATAATGCCACCAAAATGCCATGTCAATATCTTCGGCTCCTGCCGATAGAACAAAGTGCTCCCTTCTCTTTATTAGACAGTGACTGAGACGTCAAAGCTATTCCGATAAATATGATTCGGTTCAGCGCACGGATAAAGCGACACCATCTTATCACGACAGCTGTAACAAATTAAATTAATGCCTCGACGCCACCAGCCCTCCCCTCTTCACTCAAAAGCAACAACTGAAAAGTAAAAAAAAAAAATCCCCCAGTGCTAATTTCCTCAGATCATCAAATTGGGTGGACAGATCGCTCATAACGGTACGCACAGAATAGTCTTGGGGTCACATGTCGGAAATTAACCCTTTCAGGGACAGAGGTTAGCTACAGTGGACAGCTTAGCGTGTGATCAAGATACACGGTGCATGAAAGGGTTAAAAAGGAAGCTGGCCATTTGGGTTTGTGACAAGCATTTTGCTCAAATTCGAGGTTTTGTACTTTGATGAACTCCCACACACGAATTCACACAAATGAGCCTTAATGGGAAAGCAGGTAGTCTACACATGATGGACGATGTTAAATTGTGAAAACGTTTGTGCCTATGCGATTTAAAGTGTACTGGGCGGTGGCATGCTGTTGTTTTGGTTGGCAAGGGGCTTAAAATGGAATCAGAAATGAGCTGATTGTGTGTGAGCAAGAAATAAGTGCAGTTACTGCCTGATTTTCACCAAACTTTGAAAGAAAAAAAAAAGTTCAAATACACAAAAAAATTGCCCGAGGTAGTTTGAATCACTGGAGTACAAAAATGACAATATAACAAAATAAATATTTGGGATACAATAATGAAGATGGTAAAAATGGCACTGTGTCTTCTTCCATTTTTTTAATGGTCCTGCCAATAATAAAATGCCCGGCAATTTAAAAAAAAAAAAAATTCCATTGACTTTTTGGAGAGATGACTGGCTGGCATCGCCTCAGACTCAAGCTTATTCGATCCATGTTGCAGTTCGAGAAGAAAAGAAAGACATTTGCTCTGTAGACAGACGGGCGTGCCGCCGTTAATGCCATAGCTGTTATTTACGAGGCAGACTGAGCTAACCTTCATAAACTCAATCAAACCCTTTTGCGAGTTTGCTCATGTTAGCCAGCTGCGGTGAGTGACTCCATGCTGTTACAACAGCAATAAGGCCGTTCATAATGCCACCAAAATGCCATGTCAATATCTTCGGCTCCTGCCGATAGAACAAAGTGCTCCCTTCTCTTTATTAGACAGTGACTGAGACGTCAAAGCTATTCCGATAAATATGATTCGGTTCAGCGCACGGATAAAGCGACACCATCTTATCACGACAGCTGTAACAAATTAAATTAATGCCTCGACGCCACCAGCCCTCCCCTCTTCACTCAAAAGCAACAACTGAAAAGTAAAAAAAAAAAATCCCCCAGTGCTAATTTCCTCAGATCATCAAATTGGGTGGACAGATCGCTCATAACGGTACGCACAGAATAGTCTTGGGGTCACATGTCGGAAATTAACCCTTTCAGGGACAGAGGTTAGCTACAGTGGACAGCTTAGCGTGTGATCAAGATACACGGTGCATGAAAGGGTTAAAAAGGAAGCTGGCCATTTGGGTTTGTGACAAGCATTTTGCTCAAATTCGAGGTTTTGTACTTTGATGAACTCCCACACACGAATTCACACAAATGAGCCTTAATGGGAAAGCAGGTAGTCTACACATGATGGACGATGTTAAATTGTGAAAACGTTTTTGCCTATGCGATTTAAAGTGTACTGGGCGGTGGCATCAAGATTTGCTGAGCATCTCCAAATTTCTTTTTTTTTTTTGGCCACAGCCAGCAGGTTTACCGAGGAACACAAAATTAGGTGGACATTTTATATGTCAAGGATAAGTACGCCATTAAATGTTGATGAGCCAATGTCATTGGAGGTGCCCAGGACCAAGCGGAGCCTCAGAGGGGATCGAGCCTTTTCTGTTGCTGGTCTTTCCCTCTGGAATGACCTTCCATAAAATATTAGACAAGCCCCCCGCCCCCCACTCCCTGTGCATATTTATAACTCGTTTGAAGACACATCATTGTTCTTTGGCTTTCGACCCAATATGAGACTGACACTGTTCTGTTGTTTTCTGGTGGCTACTGATATGAGTTAGTATTGTTCAATTTATGTTTTAATGGGTTGGTTTCATGGTTTTCACTTTCTTCTGTCGTTGTATTATTGTTATTTTTTAATATTATGTAAAGTGCTTTGTTACAGCTACAGCTGTTATCACCCTGGTGCCAAGGCCTGCTGATTGTCACTTAACTTGTGATTCTGTTCAGCATACTACATTGGAGGTTTCCAATCTGTCAGTCAGAGCAGTTTGATCAATACTTGAGTAAATATACAATATATTAATGAGCCTTGTTCAAAATAGAAATGCTAACCCAAATGTTGAAAAAAGTTTGGAAAGCCTCATATGATCTTTTTTTTTTTTTTTTTTTGCGCACCACTTTCCTTGACAAAGAGTCTTTGGAGGGATTCGACTTTAAGCAGTTACCATATCACATATGCAAAAATTGCCTGGTGGAGCCTGGAAAGTTGAATCCTCAGTGCAGCAAAAAGCCGTTTGTAAAGACGAGGCGAGAGAAGCCGCGCGAATGCTAATGCAGGAACGTCTCCGCAACAGCTGACGGCCTCCCGATTGCGTTAACTCCTTTGGCGGTGATTCCTCCCCGGGATCAACCATGCTCGGCGCGTCCGACACCGACAACCTTGCCACCAGATGCTCTTGAATTATACATGGACGGATCGATCAAAAGGTGCTTAAGTAATAGAACTCTGTGGCGGGTCGGCGTTGGACGGCTCCCGTTACATTGGGGGCCTGACCTAAATTTAGGGACGCTGAGAAACTGGTTGCCTTGTGAATCGAGGACTCAACGTAGCACCGGTTCTCAAAAGGTTCCAATTAAAAAGCAAATGTTGTGTTGACCCATTGAATTAACATTTCATTGTGATTCAATTGTGTCTGGTCATCCTTTTAATGCCGCGCTCACAAATCCACTTAACTTGTTATTCTTTGGTCACGTTTCAACGTGTCATTCAATGTAGAATCAATATTGAAAGGACCAATTTAATGTACTTGCCACAGGTTACTCATTGTAAAAAGCTCACTGAGGAAATCACTGTAAAATGATGACATGATGTATGTATTCAGTAAAAAATGTATTTGATAAAATGGAGTTACAATATGAAATGAATCATCAAAGAAAAACAACATGATTCTGACACAGCTCGCTAGCCCTGAATTTAACGGAGAGAATCCTTCCATGTGAGAATGTTAAAGGCCTATTGATGGGATCGCAGCCCCGGGATCCAAACAAGAGATGCCTGTGATTCCCGAACGTGAGATGGCGCGGGGGCTACTGATAAAAGATGTGTTTATGTGCTATTAGGCCCCACGGGGGTCAACATTTATCCCGCGGCATCATCACAGGCCGCGGCACGTGTTGGCTCGATGGGAAGACAGCGGGAGCTAATACACTTTGGTTGGCTTCACAGCAAAATGCCACTATGGGGCAAGAGGGGGGTTTAGGTGGGGGTTACTTCTGTTTGAAACAACCATTCGTTTAAACCATAAACATACACCAAAATGTGATCTTAACACCGTTTAACATCATTTCAAAGTCTTCTACATTATCTTCCCCCCCAAAAAACAATAATAATAATAATCCATCAGTACAACGATGACTCTCTGTAACAACCCAGGCTAATTGTAGCTCCTCCCCGACATGCAAATTTCTTAATACTGTTGAGATGTACCACTTCAACATACACCGTTGCCGCCGATTACTATTTCCCTATTAGACAGGGCAGACGATCGCATTTTAATAATGGTGGTACTAGCAGAGCTTAGTATTTTTTTTTTTTTGGGGGTGTAAAAAATAGGAGGCCCACTGAGCTAATATACAGTTTGTGGTTTTAATTTGGGAGCAACTGAGCATTTGAAGGATCGTTGTGAATGCGAAAAATGTCTGCCTAAAATGTCTGCTTCAAACCAAAATGGCAAATTTCTTGTCTTTCCAGATATGGATTTTTTTTTTGGTGGCTTTTTTATGATTCTACTCTTGATATATTGACATTGCGAGACTAATAAAGGTTTTCTTAAATCTTAAATCTTAAATAAATATGACAACCAAATTTTGCATAACTATCTAAGCCTCTGACCTTGCGGAGCTGAACTATTAGCATAGCATGTTTTATGTCAACCACCAATGCCATGCTCAGTTAACAGGCGATAATAAAAACTCTAATTCCTTGCAGTTAAACGTGGTCTATCTGTCCAGTATCTTTGGTGCACGTTTAACAGCAATCGCATAAAATCTGGAGTTCGAGTTGACTTTTGAAGGACACCTGGAAACGGACACGTCATTTCTACCGGATCATTAGTGTTGCTCTCATGGCACTGATCCGCCATCCTATGTCTCCACAAGTTCAATTTTCGGCGGGGAATTATCTCATCTAAAACAATGCAAATCGGCAGCTGTTTAAATACGTCTACGCAAAGCTTCTAGTTCTTCCTATCCGTTCGTTTGCCTGGAGACTCTGCTGTTAAAATAATTACCGCCACGGTCCATTCCCATCTCTCTGTTTCAGCGCATCTTCCTTTGTCTGATTCCTCTTTCAATTATTCATGAATGAAATAGCAATTTTCAAGGGTTAATAATTTATCGGATTGCCCGTGCGGCGGCACGGGCGAGGGAGTAAATGGTGTTGGGACTGAGGGTATTGCAGTGCTTTATGGCTTCCATTTATCTTCTGTAATTATTAATCGGTTCTCTCGGGGAGACGGAACATGGCGACCGAGGGGGCTGGAGTCTGTCCGATTTGCCATCGTTATGAATGTAAAACACCCCAATCGAAATGCAATGCAAATCAAAATTCCACTTCATCAATTCGGCCCATCTGTCAAGTCAACGCGGTCCAAGTTTGCTCGCAGTCGGATAAAATCTCTTGGACAAGTTTGTCTTTGATGCGGCCCTTTAAAATGGAGACGATGACCCTGAAAAAAAACTCCTACAAACCAAAATGGCAGCCTTTTCGTGTCTTTTGGAGCATGGCTTTGTAAGACTGTTCATAGACATGCCTTGCAAATTTGCCAAAAATTGAAGAAGAAAAAGTAGTGGAGATTTTTAGGAACAGAAAGGCTGCTAAAACAATGCGGGTGGTGGTATGCAGGGTGAGCAGAGAGCCGAGACACAGCAGGGTCCCGCCAATGACTCGATAGTCGTCAACCAGTGAATTTGTCAATGACCACTTCAAACCAAGAAGTCTGGGTCATTTTACATGTGTTATGAGTAATGCCAAAACACCGAACGTCCTCCAAAAGAGGGCGATGATGATTAAACAGCCAAACAAAGTCATCATTTTCATCCGAGCTACCCAAACATCACGTAAATATCGCTTGATTGAAAAATTCTCTGCAATGTAAAGCACATAATGCTTTGAAATTAGATTCTAATCTCTGGAAATGGCAGTCCTACTGCAGCTGAATATTTTGTGTTCAGCTCTGCGGCAAGGGTACGGTGCTGTTAAATCTCCCCAGTAATTATCTCCGGGCCTTTTGCTTTATTAGCGTCATGTTATGAGGGTGGAAGTCGGAAGATTTTTCTTTTTTTTTCCAGGCGATACGGCGCTTACATGATGAAACGGGATTAAAGCGGTCTGTGTTACGTACACCGAGCATCTTGGGTGATGTGAATCAAATGCCTACGGTAGGAAGAGACCCGCATGAATAATTCAGCACCCATCAGCTATTAGGGAATTTCCTGTGGTGTGTCGAAAATCGATAGTTTGGACTGACTGCATTGCTAGTCCCTTTCAAGGCTGATTAAACGTTTTTATTGTTTGGGAGTTTTTTTGTTTGTTTGTTTTGTTAAATTGATGACTCGCACGGATGGCAGTTATTCAGTTAGACAAACACGAGAGGATCCGGAGGTTTTTTTCTTCAAGGGCCTCCTGGTAGCCCATGCATCCGTATTTTCAACTATCAGGAAAGAAATTGGAGAGAAACCGCGAGCAGGCAAGGGCAAGCTGCAGAGTCCATTTGAATGCTGTCGCTAACTAAAACGGCAACAGCCACCGAGTCACGTTAACACCGCACTTGAAGTGTGGAGATGTGTTTTGTACAAGTTAACTGCCAGCCTTTTTTTTTTTTACAAAGACAAAAATAATGGGAAACTGATTACCGTATTTTCCGCACTCAAAAGCGCACTGGATTATGAGGCGCACCTTCAATGAATGGCCTATTTTGTAATTTTTTTCATACAATGGGCGCACCGTATTATAAGACGCAATCTACAATGCATCCACTAGATGGAGCTACGCTCAAGGAAACGCCAACAGAACGATCAGATGTCAGTAACACTTATTTAATAAAGCAGCGACACAGTTCACTTCACCAACAGCAAGTTATAACATTGACTCGTTAACGTTGAACTCTCTTGCCGCTGCTCTATTTCCGTGTTCAACTGCGTAACCGATCGCTTTGAGTTCAAACTCTGCGTAACCGCAGAGTTTGAACTCTGCGTTGTCAGCATGTCTCGAGCAAGGAGCCATTTTGGGGTCGAAATATTACCGTAATGACCATACACAAGGCGCATCGGATTTTAAGGCGCGCTGTAAGCTTTTAAGAAAATTGAAAGCTTTTAGGTGCGCCTTTTAGTGCAGAAAATACGGTAATGTGTCAAAGAATACCACGCTTCCATGTGTCCATACGTCACATGTCACAATACCATGGGTACCATGTGGCAAAGTCCATTGGAACTCAGTTGCTCACCAAAACAGCACAAGGGCCCGCACAAACGTGTGTCAAAAACACCACATGCCTATTATAATTCTTTTGCGCATCAAAACAGCAGCACCTACACGTAAACAGAGGCGCAGGTTTAATGAAAAAAAAAAACTATCGTAGCTCTGTTATGTGAAAATGGCATCATTTCCAGTTGACTTTAACAGTGGTCAGCTATTTTATAAGAACGGGACGTGCTTCATTTTTGCTGCTCTGGTTCTTTTCGGTTTGCTCCATAATAGTCATTTTGTTTTAAACGTTGCTTCCTATTACAAAAACCTCTTCATAAAAATAAAGGTCTTTTGTTTTAGGTTCCCAGTAAGAGGGGAAGGTTTGATCCCGCAAATAAAAAAAAAAAGAAAAAAAAAGAAAAAAACATTATACTCACGTGTCATCCACGTAGCAAGGGTACGGCATTTGCTGAGCGAAAACGCCGAAGGGTTGGGTGGTGGATGTTTGCGTTCGTACAATGCCGTGGTCGATCATGTCCTGCAGGTAGGCGAAGCCTCCTCGTATATAACGCAGGTCGTTAAAAGAGTTGTCTCGGGCCCCCGGAGACCATGACCTTATTAAAAGTAGACACATTGTCATCTGTGCTGGATAGTGTCTTTTAGACACTACCACACAAAAAAAAAAAAAAGACACTCAAATTTATAAGATGATAACATGACGGCTTTCAAAAATAAAAAAAGTCCAAACCTTTTCGCAAGTAGTAGATAAAATACCGGAGACCCTTACACACTACATGAAAAAAGATACTACAGTGAAACTCCTCTACAACGAAATCATGTTTGCAGCAAGAAATTTTTCACAACAGGGGACTTTTCACTGTAGCAAATTTTATCTCAGACGGAAACACGAACAAACACATAAAACGTATATGTGTACTTTTTATTTTTATTCCAATAGTGCATAAGTATGAGCCTAGACTTATTTGACACTTCATATAGCCAGCGTAGAAAGAAAAACGGCAAAGAAATTGCGACTTTTACGATCAGCATTTACTTTCACTTACATCAATTTCTTGCATAATGTCTTTTATTTTGCTTCCTCCATCTTTCATTTTTATTACCTTTATCCTGTCTTCAAGCTTTTCTTTTCTTAACTCGTTGGTATGCAAAGGTCCATTTTGTCGCCATTTTAGCAATGCAACGTTCGTGCTGGCCTGAAACGAACAATAACAAATACTTTCTGTACGACTGCGCATGTGTAAACCAGTGTGGTGGTTGCTGTTGTCGTTTCCTAACGAAGCAGTAGAGGTCGCTGTGGCATGCTGAGGTTAGATTAGACTTTTGCGAAAGGCTTGTTTTCGTAGTGAACCTCGTTGCAAGGCAAGAGCAGAGAAAAAGATTTTGTATAACGAACAGGGGGACTTTTCGTCATGGGGGAGCAGAAAAGTGGGAATGGCTTTCATGCATGAACATTTTTTCACACTAGGGGGTATTTTCGCCCATGTAGGTTTCATTTTAGAGAAGTTTCACTGCAATGGGAAACGGACCACGTGTCAAACAATAATATGTGTACCATCTGTCAAAAATGCTATGGGTCAATCAATACGATGAGTATGGTGTGTGTAATGCGGTGTGGCGAATGACTTAGAATGCGTCCCATCTGCCCTGTTGCGTACCGTTCCTTTCTTTTGTTGGTGCGCTCCACCTCCTCGATGTCCATGCGGATCTTGTAGTGGACGTGAGGAGGGACTCGGCTGGCGTTGGGCAGCAGGTTGACAAACACGATGCCGGCCCAGTAAGTGTCATTCTTGAGGAGCTCCAGTGCTTTGCCCACCAGCTGGCTTTCGCTGGGAGCGCCATCAAACTTGTTCAAGTCCAAACACTGTCACAAAAGGGCGCACATTTTTTTCGGTGGAATCGAAACTCTACTTCATCTGAGCTTCGGAAAAGTGATCTGAAATTTCCCCCTAAAAACTTTTTGGCAAGTCGAGCACATGAATCCACGAGAACAGCAATCGACAAACCTGACTTTGAAGTGTGTGTGAGAATCGTCTTTCCACACGTGTTTGAGCACACCGAGTGGGAAAATGGGCCCCGCCACAAACTGTGGCGCAGATCAATACATCAACTGCGAGTGTGTGCTCGCGCTGAATTTGATGCCATTAAACCTTGGCAAACAGCGAGGCCTCTCACGACTCAGAAATGAGTGAAAATAATTTTTTTTGTGCGCTGAAAAAAGAGAAAAACTACAGCCGACATGAAAGCTATAGAAAAATACCGCAATGGATACGCACGCCGAGGAAGTCGGACAGAAGCTGAAGAGTCTGGGTGGTGGCGTTGTAAAGGTCCCGCCAGTCGTGGGGTGGGACCCCGCTGGGTCGATCCTCGGGGGCGCCGTTGTAGAGGAAGTTAGCCAACAGAGCGGCGGTCCAGCCAGTGCCGTTAAGACGTTGGTCCAGGGCGGCGGCAAACACCGGATTGGCCAGCAAATTCTGACAAGACAACGTACGTTTACAGACGACAGCTTACGGTTACAAAAAATGAGCTACATTCCAGGACATAATCATATCATCAATGGTTGGTCAGTATGTATACATTATGTCAATATTACATGTCAAACAATAGCACACGGTATATGCATCATGTGTCAAAAATACCATGCGTCAAGTCTTTGCTCAATTGACTAAGCTTCACAACGTCAGATTGGAATCCGAATCTTTCTAACTCGAATAATTGTCAGTTGGGTAAGCATTGTTACCAACGAGCTGATTTGGACATCATTTTCATGACCATGTCATTTTCCATTTTCACTCTGTTGGCTTTTTAGCAGCTCTGCTCACAGCCTTTCTTTTCAGCTCCGCACCTCAGACGGACTCGCCGGCTGCGGTAATTGGTCCATCAAAACTAAAACACGTCGGCGACCTTGAACGACCTCTGCCAGTGATGACGAAACGCCCCGCGAGCCGCTGGCCCCGTAGCACGCGGCGGCGGCAGAGAAAAGAGCAGAGCGGCAGTGGTGGCGGAGAAAATGAAGACAAAGGAGGAATGCGTGCCCATTTGTGTAAAGGTTAGGGCTAGGGTAATGAATACCGCAGCTATGTGGAGATCCCGATGTCTGCTTCCCTCCAGCTGCCTATAAGCTCATTTGGAGTGACACTAGAGTAATGTCAGTGTCAAGGAAATACTGCAAGAGAGAGAAGGAGAGGGAGGGAAAGGGATAGAGGTGGAGGCAAAGTGTCCATGTCCTCTACTTCGAGAGATAATCCCTTCTGCCGGGATGAAAATTATCCTGTACTTATCCATAATTACTTCCATCTCTCGGTTCCCATACTAAACAGGAGGCTTGAAAACATACTGCCGAGTGTATACATCATGAGTTATTCTTTTTTTTTTTTTTTTTTTTTTTTTTAGCCAAAGGTTGGACTGGAAATGGCGGTGTTCTTCACGCACGCGGGTCTTGCTTGAGACCATCAATGGACCAGCAAAGTCCTGGTTTGGGCATTAAACCTTGTTGGCGGTAGTGCTAAGTGAAACCTCACACCTAAAATTGTCTGGCAAGAATAATGTCTGGCAAGAATGCGACTCGGTTATCGCTAAGTCGGCACAAAAAGTTTTCGCTGCTTCAGAGTCATGTGCTAAACAATACCACATGTCAAAGAGTAGAATAGCTTTTTGTCCGGGTAGAAGGCATCTCGGTCATTTGTCGGTCGACACGACAAACTACAACAGAATAGAAAAGTTCGCCAGTGAGCCTCACTCTAAATTGTCTTGGTGGAACTTGATGATTGATCAACAGGGCAGGTGTCACATTCAATCAATCTTACCCGTATTGCGTTGACTTGCTGGCTGTTCTGAAAGAAATCCCAAACACGCGGCCCCAATTCGTCCCAAGCGTCGGCCATTTCTTTCAGCATCGCCAAGGCATTGAAGGTGTTGTTAGCCTGAATGTCAACAACACAAAGGGATGCTTATCAGAACCAAGCAGCATTGAATACGTCGGTCGGAACGAGACGGGCCCTTAACTGTTGGCCACGGTAAAGCCTGCACCTGTGTCAGTACGTTCATTACCTCTTTCACGATGAGGCGTGTTGCCGGGGAATCAGGTGTGAAAAGGACTTTTCCTCGGAAAAAGAGCTTGAATGTGCTCCAGAGGTAACGGAGACCCGGGGTTCCCTCCAGAGTGTCAATGAAGGTTTGACAAAAAGAACCTGCAGAAGCCATGGTGAGAAGGAAAACAATCGTACCGTATTTTCCGCATTATAAGGCGCTTCAGAGTATAAGGTGCACCTTCAATGAATGGCCAATTTTAAAACTGGTTTCATATATAGAGCGCACTTTCACAACCGCTGCAGCTGTAACAAAACGCTTTACAGAACATTTAAAATAATTTGTCCAAGAAATCAGAATATTGATTCATATATAAGGCGCATCGGATTATAAGGTGCACTGTTGGGTTTTGACAATATTGAATGCTTTTAGGTGCGCCTTGTAGTGCGGAAAAGATGGTAGTTTTTGCGCTTACAAAATATATGGACACTGAGTTTTCATGATCAAAACTTATGATCACAGCGCTATGAGAGGAGGTATTGAATTTCTAGTTTTTAGTATTCACCACTAAATACCATCCGAGGGATTTATTTCCACCCGAGTCCCCAAATTTTAAAAAAGGTTTTTGTATACAGTGAGAATCGTGCACAGCCGTCGCGGCGTCATTATTTATTTAACTGGGCCGCCGATGTGAATAGCAGCAGGTTGGGAAAGCCGCAAGGGGGTTAAGTGAGGATCAGCGATTGTACTGCACCACACTTGTCTCCACTGCAAAATGACTCCAGTCTTTTAGGGCCGCACTTATTCAGATAAGATTAAACAAAATATCACAGGTACACATGCTCTCTAGTAGACAAGTAAAGCATCCTCGAAAATACGTATACTAACAAGTAAACAATCTCACAAGGACCGATTGCAACGAGATCACAAGTACACATACAAGTAAACATTGTCACAAGTGGATATACTTCAAAGTCAACCACATCACATGTACACATCCTTACTGAGCAACACTTTGTAAGGTACAACGGCTTTTCATTCTTTATGGAGTTTTTTTATTTCCGCCATCGTCCCTGAGGGCGAGATGTTAGCAGGCATTTTCACTGCAATTAAACGTGAGCCCTCCTGCCCGCTCGCCGCCTCTTGCAGGTGTTGCTGGGAGGTCGGCGCGAGCGGAGAGCTAATGGCCGCCCTCTACTCGGACCCTGGCCAGCTGTTCCCATCAAAGGCGGCGACAGATGCCACTTTGTGTAATGGTGGCCCACCAAGATGAGCTTCTAATCATTAGCTGGCAATGGCGATACGTGATCTATTTTTATGCGAGACACTACCGCAGAGCTCTTTGAGCCGATAATATCTGCACAGAAAAAAAAAAAAAAAAAAGAACGAATCTCAAACATTAAGATAGCAAAAATAGGGTTCAAGTAGGACTTAAAAGTCTGTGTTATACAATGCCTTTGTGAGTGCTTTTACATTTCCAAAGCAGTTGTAATTGACCATTTACACACACGGCCGCAACACATTGCCGGATTCATTTAAGTGCAGGAAAATGCCAAAACAGCCATTAGCGTGCTAACAGAGACGTTAGTGCTTAGTTTGTCTGGATGACACCGTGTTTGTGCTCATTTGTGCTGGCACCAGCATGCCGTTGCTCTTTGCTGTGCAACTTTGTTTTATTTCCCAGGGAACAGCGGCATCTTATTAAAATCTAATTGTGTGCCGCTTCTTCCTCGTGAGAAGTTTTAATGAAACGTCCAACGCGTAAGATCTAATTCTCTGGGATGTTATGGAATTAAATTGGCCAACCGGAAAGCCTTCGGCACATTGAACATTCGGGCATGGACGTTGGGAAGAAGCGGAAACAAAAAGCGCCTTTGAAATATGCAACGACGCTTCGCCAATGCTTCGCCCCCTCAGGCCTTGGCCATGCAGCCTGAGGGCATTTTTGCGGCACAGCTATTGTCTAACAAAGAGTCGTCATTCTGTTTGCTCTCCTTTTCGCAGGGCAAATAACTCATCGGCCGATGGGAGTGTGTTTCTTACTCCCGCAGCAAAATCTAATAACAAGGAATTGTGAGTGTATCCAATCACACACAGTCAACAACAGTGGTGCTAAATGCCCAAATCCAAAACAACTGAGAAGAAACATTGCACAAGTGTCTCCAGAAGACACAAAGCACATCATTTGAAAGAAACAAAACTCATTTTCAGTAAACAACCTCTGTAACTAAAGATGCCTGAAAAGAAAATATCCCCACAAGTTAAATATTCACTTGTGAATACTGGAATAATACATTTCGCCCCTTTTGGCCAACGCAGCTCGTACACGGTCAGGCTAAAATGCGGAAATATTATTAAATATTGAGAGGAGACTCACTGGAAGTGTTGCGGTCGCTCGTGATTGACTGCTTGCTAACCGCTCGTCTGAGCGACAGGGAGTCGAGGGTCACGTTGGTGGAATTGGAGTCAAGCTGCTTTCCGCAGAGAAGCATATTGATGCTGCCAATCATGTCCCCCTGGAAATCCAGCGACCAGGCAAGGATCATGGAGTCCTGCAAACGGCTCACCTGGTTTAAAAAAGAAAGAGAGAGGGGAAAAAAAAAACATCATTTGATCATATAAATAAAAGATCTTGTACGTGACTGGAATACAAACCTCCTGTAGAACGGGGAGGGCGTTCGCCGTTGTTCTCGCAAGCAGCACCGTCACGTCAACGGCATCCAAATCCAAAGCTGACGGCAGCTGGAGGAATATTATATCAATCTGAATCACAGTCACCGGTCTGCTTGGAATTCATGCCGAGCATCGAGAAAGTACATGAAAGTAACTGATAACTGAAAAACTGGCCTTATTCATGGATGCTCGGGTTAATAACTTCCAAAACCGTGGTCAGTTTTGTGATTTTATTTTTATTTTTTTGGTTCACAGAGAAGGCTGGTCAAAAATGAGCAAAGATTCTCTTAGTTTGCATCCTTACAAGTAAACGTGCCCACAAGTTACACATTCTTGCTGGGGAAACTACCACAAAGGTATCCTGAGAAGTACATACTTTCATTGGCAAGTACACAGCCATACAATAACCTATGCCTCCTTACAAGTACATATCCTGTCCTTACAAGTACACATTCTTACGATGAAAGTCCTTCCGAGGAAAGTATCTCCAACGTACAAACCATTAGAAGTACACACCCTCATAAGCCCGCATTCTTACGAGCAAACAACTTCCGCACACGCTAGCAAGTCAACAATCTTACGTTAAACGTCCTTAGAAGTAAAGTACCTCAAAATGGTAGACGTTCTTCGGAGCGCACACTCTCCTAAGTACACATTATTACAAGTTGGGGTGGGAAAACTATGGTTGTTAAGGTCACCATTGCAATTGTGAAAACCTCCGAGGAAGGAAGAGTGCTAAAAAAAAAAAGAAAACAAGCCAATTTGATAACCTAAATCTGTCTACACGGTTGAGGCAGGCGACTGCCATTCACCAGCTCAGTGTTAAACTCTGACTCACGCGGTTGTCCTTTCATTAACGGCGTTGTTATCGCCGTCATTCCGCATGTGGTCCTTTAAGTGCGATGTCTTGATGTTCTATTCCATCCATTTTGTGACGGCGCCCGAGAGCTTTTTTTTTGTGCACTCTATTTTTTCCGAGGCTTTTCTTTTACTGCGCCTGTGGGCTGAAATTGTTCAAATAATCTCCCCTACAAACTTCCTCGCCTTATCACTTATTTATTGGATTTGCTGGGCCATATATTTTCCCTCCAAGATAAACTCAAAAGAAAAAAAAGTGCGGGCTTGCATAATCCCAGCGGGAGCTGTGAGATTTAAAAAGAATTCAAGAGAACATCGCTTCTAATAAATATTTCTGGCGATGGCATGTATTTTAATAACATCATGGGGAGACAAAGGTGAGCAGGAAAATGAACCGCCTGCTCTAAGGGGGGGGGGGGGAGAAGCTCAAAAATGTAATATACTGCAAGCAATGCATCATCGACACAGCACTCAGGCTGTTATAGTGTTTCGACCTTTTAGAAACATTAACACGTACTCGTACACTTCTATGGCAGTTAACACTGACTTTAAAACAGTTTGTCTTTCTGGTGATTTCTTTCAGGAATAAAAATATTACAGTCAGGCTGACTCTAACCGTAACTGTAACAACGAACCTCTATACCACGTTTAAAGTTGCCCTCCCCACACACACATACACACACATCTTTTATCTTCTTTGTGTAAGTGGAGGTAGACTAGCTAAGTAACATTTCATTGCTCAGTGCTAACACTGTCTTTTTACTGTACATATGACAATTAACTCATCCCTTGCCGGAACCCAACCTAGGCTAACACGATCCCCAAGCTATCTAAAATCAGAACTGCTCAACCTAATGGTCTTCTTAACCAATATGAGGTTTTTTTTTTGTTGTTTACGACAGTCATGCTGTCAGGCTACCAGAAAAAAAAAAGTCTGTCACTAATCATTGTGCACTTCCGTCATAATTCAGTTCTTCGGCGCAGAGCCGAACGGGAGGCGGGACAAGGGGCTGTCAATGTCAAGTCGACAGAGGCATTGTCGGCGAGTGCGGGTTTTTTTTTTTGGAAAACAAAGATCATGGTGGAGAGAGGAGGGTATTGGACTATAGAGGGGACCGTCCTTTTCGCAATTACCCACAATGCACTACCGGCGGCCATATTGGAAGGCTGTTATAAACAAGCCATACACGAAGTCTATTGTCTTGTTTATAACAGCCCTCCAATATGGCCGCCGGTAGTGCATTGTGGGTAATTGCTAAAAGGACGCAGCCCTCTATTGTCTAAAAAGAACTCGAGCTAACGAATTTGTTTAATGACACTCTGTTTGCGAATCAGCTCTTAGCTTTGCGTTATCAACGATAGCATGAGTTGAAATGCTACGTCTGCTTGTCAATATTTCCTCTCTTTTTCAAGTAGCTTTTTAAAATACTGCACACCACATCGTGATTGTGTGCGCCATGTCCAGGAGGAGGGCAATGTCTTCCGATTGGACGATGAACCATTCAAAGGACAACGTAAGGCATGTCACACTATGCAGCAAGACGTCTCACTACATGGTTACGGTGCGTCAAGACAACTCAAAATCGGTTACGAGACACTACGCTATCAAATGTCCATATTTACTTTTTCAGGGCCAGCGGTTACTCCAGTGGACAGCTTATCACGTCATCAGGTTATAGGTTATCATTACTGGTGCATGAAAGAGTTCAAAAGCCATTTAAGCAAAAGCATTAAAAATAAAGCCTTTTTCATGAAAGTTTCTTTTGACCGAATCCAAAGAAGGTCTGACCTGAGCCAAGACTTTGTTCGGGTCCAGGTTTTGCAGGAGCACTCGCTGGCTGTCACTGAGCTGCTGGGGGGCCAGGGAGCAGCTGGCATTCTGGAAGGCCTCCCGTTCCATCGGGCTGCGAAAATGGATGTAGCGGTCCAGGTCTTTGTCATCACACAAGAAGCTCCCAAGGGTACCAGGCGCAGGGACTGGGATCTTGTGTTGGTAAGAGGACAATTCACGAGAGTTATAACGTTAGGAATTTGGATGCTATTTAGCAAGTTTCACCATAAATTTTTCCATTGTTTTTTTTTTTTTTACAGTCTTACCCACCGAGTTGACAGAAATGTTGGCAGCCATGAGGCTCTCGACCACTGGAAGCGGCATTGACAAATTCTCTCTCAAATGCGCTGAGAACGTTTCGTCATCGCTCAGAATAGTCGTCAGCTGAACCGGTTGTCCTTGAACGGAAAGAGCAACCGTTATTTTACGGGGTAGATGAGGAAGAACTGGAAAAAAAAATAGACCGAGATGAATTGGCGAAGAGTGAGGCGTGAATGTGCGGGGGACAACTGTGCTTCAAAAGCACTTCTACCAACTATCCAAAACTTTGTGCCCCATCCATCGTTCTTGCTCGCGACCTTTTTGTAGTCTCACCTCAGATGACGCATCCCATTAATTATGCTTCTGCTTGGATCTTTGATGGATTTTAATCTTGTATATTACAAGCCGCTGACCCCCGAAATGCAAATGTTCCCCACCAGTTGTTTGTTGTACGGCGGTGGCACGCCTCCCCTCTTTGCCTATTTACAAATTAGATAGCGTGGGTGGGGCGGAGAGAGGGGGGGGGGAATCTGAATAGCGTTGCGCCAAATGGGTCTAATGCAAAGCAGCAACTTATCAAGACAAATGATCTGTCAGTCTGCATGCAAAACGGCGTCATAAATAATCACGCCTCGTTGTTTTTGAGGGATAAAGGAGAACAACAAATCCTCAGAGGTGTCATCTGAACAACGGTGATACTTTTCCTTGGTGGCAAATACTTGACAAAGACATAAGAGGCGGAATTGTTGAGTTTTTCTATGACTCTATTTAGATCTGATTATCTCGCCGGCATAGCACTTGACATTCAAAGGCCCCTACCGTTCCGAGCGTCAGCTCGCGACATGATTGCGGCCCACTGGGTGACGTCGTCAGCCAGTCGTTGGGCGTTGCCGAGGATGGATTTGTTCATCAGGAGGCTCTGCAACTCAATCAGCGCCCTGGAAATTCTGAGCGGACGAGGTCATCGCGATAGCGTTACAGTCTGCTTTTACTGCTCTTAACCCTTTCGGGCACGGCGGTTGCTACACTGGACAGCTCATCATGTTATCAGGTTACAGAGAGCGTCAAAGGGTTAAAGTTGGCGTACATTGAGTTGTTAAAGTTATTGACTTGTCCCGGTGCCTCCCCTGGCGTTGGATGACTCAGACAGGGATTGTCGACGTTGCACACCAAACCTTGAATCCAAGGAAGCACCCCGGCCGATGGCATGGCTTTATTCGGATAGTGGCCTTAAAGAAAGAAAGCGGTCACTTCTGTACGTTTCAGCACTTGTAGACGACGCGCAACCCGATCAGAGGATGAGTTTCGACTTACATTGGCCCTTGTGGGTCGGCTCGGTGGTGAAGCGCACCGACACCAGGATGAAAAAGAGGAACAAAGGCCAAACAATTTCCACAACCAAGCGCACCTGCAGAAAAGACTCGGGATGGTGATCTCTACATAGCTTTAGAATAGGATGACAAATCCTGACCCTGTCCTGAACTGCAGCCACTCCAACCGAAAAAGGCTTAGTCGAGTGCCTTTCGATCAGGGATTTCAAACTCATTTCACATTTTGGGCCCGCATACAGTCTCGGTAGATGCCAAGTGGGCCGGACCATGAAAATGATAGCATATTCTGCTATAAATAACCAAAAATATCATGTCTTTCTTTTGTTTTTGGGATAGTGAAGCACAAGAACATTAGGAAAATGTTACAAAACATGTAATGTAACACCTTAGATTTCCTTAGACAAATGTGCAATTTACTTTTATCATTCACATATACAGTATATGCATTGCAACGGATCCCACTGATTGTACAAAGGCACAAAACAAGTAATTGGTATTGAAAAATATAGTAATGCATTTTAAGATTAAAAGAGGTGTATAAAGAAAGGAATTTTTAAACCAGTTACACATGTGCATATAAAATCTAAATGTAATACACTTTACAAACTAAGGAGAAAACAGTGTGCCCCTAGCGGATAATCCATGAATTACACCTTATTAAAAACATCAAATCCTGTCTTTTATGCATTTTTTCACTTTTAAATTATCCCGCCGGCCTCATCAAACCTCGTCGGGGGCCGTATGTTTGACACCCCCGCTTTAGAGCCTTATTGTTCAGGAGCAAAATTTTACAACGTGCCAAAGTGAACAAACCAAGCGCATTTAACCGATTGTGACAAGCAGACCGCAATCTTTCCACGTCGATGTAGGTTGTCCGCTGCGCTCGACTGGGCGCCTTTCTAGTTCACTGATTTACAGACGAGGCATCCTGCGAGATACTAGAAACTGCAAAAGAAAATGGCAGGCGGGGGGGGGAAATTATATGGACTTCCTTAGTGTCTTCGGGAATTTGCCACTGGACACCCGTGCCTTTGTGAATAGATAATCTCCTCCTTTGAAATTATATGAAAGAACGGACCATAAAATCAGCGCCGTGCCTGTTATAAAATGTTAAAATGCTTGGCGAGGCATTCATATAATTGGTCATTAACCTCTACAAGCCCTCCGCAAGCACTGTTGTCCTTGCCAACTCCCACTGGTTTCATCTAATAGTCGTTTTTCATGTCGACAGCGCACAAATACCCTACGTTCCGTGCACACAAAACTCGCACTGTCTCCCTTCCCCATCCCGAAGGAAGGAAGAAAGAGCGACGTATTTCTTTCGGATGCATCCCACTTCCCCCGTCCCCCGCCCTGATACAAAGTTGTAAAAACGCAATTTAATTTTGCCTGAAGTTATTCTGACAAAGTAAGGAAATTAATGAAAGTGTCTCCTCGCGAAGATGCCTTTTGTTCTACGGCGGCAAACGGGTGCACCGCTGCGCTCGGGCCCCTTCGGAAACAAGTGGGCAGTTGTGACTCCCACTGACTGTCAAGGTTACAAAGGAAAAGACGGAACACCCAAAGAAGGCGCTGGAATCTTTGTCGCAACATGCTTCGACAAATGACCCTGTCCCATTTTCTCGGGAATACACAATGTTATCTTCCAGCGGTGCGTGACCTCTTATCCAATTGCGCTGATAATTGAGGGGCAATAAAACGCCGGGTAATCATGTGACTAGACGAGTGCAGAGTGCACGGGATGCGTCATGTTTTGTCTAAAAGCTCCCAGGGGGAGCTATTTTGATGTGGAATAATGTTTTGTCAACAAATAACCAAGTATATGTGAAAAGCCTCGCCCCGTGGTAACATTTTATTCAAAAGTGATGTGACTCACCTCTCCAAAAAATTATCCAGTTATAGTTCAGGACAGCCGATCAAATGAAAGAAACCGCATTTTTTTTTTCTTCAATGAGAATAATAATTGCGAGTACATTTGAACAAATGACAGGTCATGAAGTTTCCGCCGTCATCTCATTCAAAGTTGCAGAGAACCACAAAGAGACGGCGTCCTTCAAACCAAACGCTTCACGCTTCCTCGTCTCTGTTCCAGCCAAAGACAGACTTTGTTAGCGCGACGATGTAGATGATGTGACATCACGCGCACACCAATGAGATGTCTCAAAATTAAAGGTGACACTTTGAATTAGTTGGCATTAAGGTGAGATTGCTCTTGTTCTCAGTGGGGGCGGCTTAGGGGCAGATCGCTCGTCTCTCGCCTTTGCTAACATGCTGCAACGGCAATGTCCTCAAAGTTGAATTTGCAAAAAAAACAAAAAACAAAAAACAAAGAAGGGTGTTGCCGAGGTACCTTTTGTCTCTTCCGGAGAGTGAAGTTCTTCCACAGGAGCAGAGCGAATTGCGTCAGGAGACCCATTACACCTTATTCCGGCAATATCCCGCCAATGCGTCTCTATGGCAACCAGTCCACTTAATAAATCCTGCAGGGGATAAAAGCCAGTGTTTGTTTTTTAATACAGACCAGTGCCGCATCTTGGGCTGAGGGGATCTGGGGTTGCCACTAATCATTCACTTCCTCAAGCTTTGGGGCTTACGGCAAAGCAGCTGCTCCTGCAATTATTATCACCTGCGTTCAGCAAAACGGGAGGTTCCAGTTCATATCATCCTGACAAGAGCCTTAATTAAACAACGCGTTTGACATGTCATGCCAGAGATGCTCCAAATAAATATTTTGTCCCACTTCTATCAACAAAACATTTGAAGTGTATCTTAGTTGAGGACACTTGCATCCTATCGGAATGTGTCACTTGAACAACATATTGTACCGACAACTAAATTGATATCTTGTGCTTATTTTGTCTTCTAATGCTTTTGTTAAAAAGTAACCAAATGACGTGAAGTGTCTCTGAGTGAGGGAAGTTATTCCTGTTCAGTTAAAAAAAGAAATACAATAAAACAAGCAGAGGACTACCGGTATACTGCAGAACCTTTTCTGTATTTTAGATGTGACTCTATTTTGTCCCATAACTTTCACCAGACAACCAAACTATTTGAGATGCTTTTGGCTGAGGAAGCTTGACCTGAGGGTGGCATTACGTTAGGACTGACAGAAGATTCTGTCAGCTCGTCACTGATGAAGCCCGGTTTACTGATCATTGACGAATGACCGGGAAATAAAACAAAAAAAGATGGCCAAAGCACTAACGGAAGTGGATTTTCATCTGTCATTGTAATCGCCACTAACCGGGTCAAGTACAGACGGACCTCTCAGTCCGTTACTGACGGGCGCCCGTTTTCTTGACAGCTGACAAAAACGCCCCGCCTGTCACGTGTATTTGTTCATGGGGGTTTCTTAGCGATGACCCGAATTGACTATACACGCGCGAGATTGAGCGCTACTCTTTTCAATAGGATCTCTGTAGAGACTGTGATGGCCGTGATTGGCTAAGGAGGCGGAACCGGATGATGTCACTTCACTTTGCGATGACAACGCAAATCTACAATCTTTGTTTGAGTCGAAGCTGTTTTGGATGTGTATTTATTTGCATATAAACCTTTAGGGTTGTGCTTTTCTGTTAAATCTTGGTGAAATTATCCATATTCAAGACTGTCTTATGTGTTTTTTCGTGGGGCTGCATTGAGGACGAGCAGGGTTGCTTCCGTTGACCTTATATGGAAAGACTTTGCGCTTCCTGTACAATAGGTGGGAATATGCACAAAAGAACTGTGATGAATGACCGAAGAGTGGACGGACTGAAGATTATCACAGTTTGGTTCGGCTTGAAAAAAAATGACAAAACTGCCACAATTAACAATACAGATGTGTTGGACAAAATATACAACACTGGACGTGAATGAGGAATGGCGGACCGGCAGAATTTTGTAAAATGCCTCTGAGGGTTACAAACCTTTTCTAGAACATCATCGTTTATATTTGATACTTTTTTTTTTTCTTCGCAGGCCAAAGGTTTTGTAGCATACTTAACACGGTAGTGAATAGTTTGTGGACCGTGGACACAAGGTGAAGCCGGTGGGGACGAGCTGTTTTTCTTTGGCCCACGGCGAGTGCGCCACTGCTTAACGCTCCATTTCCTCTTCCTGCAGTCCCTTCCCCTTGCGTGCCTTTCCATTATTTACAGCAAAGCCAGCCAATGTTTTATTTACCATCATTTAGCCTCATAACACTCTTCGTTCCCAAATGGGCAAATTAGCGCTGGCTAGCTATAGCGTTCGTATTGTTCGCATGTTGTCTGTGCACATGTTTTTCTGTCCTCCAGGGGACTCAAGTGACAAGGGACGACACGACTTTGTTTCTTCCCTTGTAGCTGCTTTGGAAAACATGACACTTCTTTTTGTGTGAGAATAATTCTCTATTTTCCCACTGATATTGACAAATTAAAAAAAAATGTCCCCATTGTCCACCAATGCATAATATAACAACTCCTACTCTTAATCGAGTTGGCCGAGTAAATGATTAACAAGGAAGCGCGCTTGGCTGTTAAAGTTCACTCTGACTCAACAAACACGTGAAACGCCTCAGAAAAGACAAAAGCGGCGTGTTTCTTCGAAATTTCTTCAAATAAAGCAAGGAGACCAACAAGGCGGCTGTTGAAGTCGGCCGATAAAACATCCGAATGTCGCTTACCTTCGGCCGATGGGCCATCAAGGCATCTCCAAAAGCGTCTCTTGGCTTCTTTGCGGCTCCGACACAGCCGGGCCCCGCCTGTGTCGTGTCCTTTTACCTCCACTTGTAAAGTATGCAAATGGCTTTGGGTGACGGGAGCCACGGTGATGTGCACACAGGTGGCCTCCAGGGTCTCCATGGCAACAACAGGTGCTCGTCTCAGCAAATAGTGACTGCGTCTCAAGGTAGTAGCGCTAGCGTTACATCAGCACCAGGTGTCCTGGCTGCCATCGGAAGGTGAGTTGAGGTCTTTGTGGCAATTGCAGATGCTATCAGTATTTTGTAAAAAAAAAAAATAAAATAATAATACCGGTAATAATAAATAGTAACAATAATAATTCAAGGCGTAACATTCTGAATGTTAGCACTGATGCTAGGCAAGGCACAACTGCATTTATATTGCACATTTTATACACAAGGTAACTAACTCAATGTGCTTCAGATAGTTAAATACAGCAGTTAAAGGCAAAAAAAAAAATTGTAGACATTTAAAGGCAAAGTAAATAAATAAAAAAACATTGAGTAAAATTACAACACAAAAAATGTTCAGTGCGAGAACATGATTTGGGAAAAATTGATTGATTGAAATGCTCTAAAAAACCTAAATCACAGGTATGGGGAGATCATTTTTAGCCTGGATTTATGAATTTACACTTCATGCCAATTTCAGTTCTGTTTGCGGCTGATTCCATTTGCATGCAGCATAACAACTAAATGCTGCTGCACCATGTTTGCATTGAACTCGGACCTACGAATTGACCTAAGTATGGTTCTGTCTGGTCCCTCAGTCCTAGTGGCCACCACCTCCGTGGCAACAATATTTATTTCAAGGACAACAATAATACAGTTGGGTTGGACAAATATCGACAATAGCGGTACCTTGCGCCGTTCCTCCCTGCAGACATGGTGAAACGCAAGCACACGCTTGCTGTGTCAATCGATCAAGGTCACAGCTCGGATTTCTATTGCGTGCCACCCATGACCTGAGGGGAAAAAAAATAGAAGAGGAAAAGAAAATGTAACCGTGAAGTTGAGGAAAAACAAATGCCAACTTTCCTCGACAGATGCTCTTGCGATTGTTTTGACTTCGGCCAAACACGGCCCCCACACGGATTGTGCGCGGGCACGTCTGATCTACTTTTTTTTTTTTTTTTTTTTTTTAACATCAACTTTTGTATGGTTTGACACAGCTACTCTGGGAGAAAAACAACACCTCGATATTTGGATGTGCTCCACTCAACTCGACGGTGCCAGCCAAACTTTTTTAAGCCGCACACCTCCTGTCAACATCAGCCAAAACAAAGCCAAAAAAAGGCATCATGTTAAACTTGATCAAATGGAGAAGGGTAAATAAATATTTTCTTTTGCTTTTTTTTTTTTTTTTGCCGGGGGGAACTTTTTAAGATGAACGCTGCCATCAACATCACAACTGACTTGGCGCATCCCGACACACAACCCGGGGAAAATTCAAAACAAAGCCTGTTTAGCATTCCATTAAAGTCAACCATTTCCGAAATGAAAGAGTGGGTTGGCGCACCCCCTCTCCCCTGCACACCCACTCAAAAAAAAAGTATAGCCAGTACAGCTCCCAATTCAACTGTAAAATTTAGAAAAAAATTGCCTTGACAACATTTTTAAAGCTGGAACGTATCAAAAGCACTGGCGCACCTCCACTCCTCTGCACACCCGGTTGAAAAAAGTAAAAACAAAGTCTTCAATTCAACTGATTGAATTGTATAGATTACGCTGTGCATTATACTAACATAATGGAAGCCCGAGCGCACTCCCGCTCCCTTGCAACCCCACTTGAAAAAAAAAAAAGCATGATGGCATTATATTCGCCAGTGCAATTGTGACAAATAAATAAATAAATAAATAAATAAACTTTTTGTTCAAACTTTTGAAGCTGTAAAATGATTATAGATTTGGCACATGCGCTACTGATTTTTTGCGTACCTCCTTGAAAAAGTAAAAAAAATAAAATAAACGGCATAGCATTTACGATGCCACTTCTATTGATGAACCTTTTCCAAACTATTAAAGCCAAGCATATTGAGCGAGTTTGCACACACGCTCTCCCTTGTGCCCACTCTCCAAAAACCTTCAATGACAAAGGAAGCCCATTTCTAATTTCTCTCCAAACGTGACAAAAAGCCCCCAAGAGGGCGGAGTGAAAGCCTCCTCTGCACGGGTGACCTTTGTGACAGCGCGATAACGGCGCACCATGCGAGCGCTTCCAAACGACGGCGTTTATTTGAACGGATGGCGAGGTCGCCGGGCTTCATTCGCCATTCAGGCGGCGTAAATAGTTTCAATCGGGCGCACAAAGGCGTCCTCGTTGAGGAGTAATGGCGCACGCTGAATGGCCACGCGTGTACGAGAACATTTTTGTGACGGTACACTTGGCGTGGGAGATGATCGGTTACCATGGAGACCCCGCCTCGGCTGGCTCAACTTGCCGGGGGGGACAAACGGTGGCGGTGTCCTCCGCGTTTCCGCCGCATGGCCGCGCGTGCTACTTTTCCCACGCTTTATTGAATATTTTGTTTACTATGTTTGATATATATATATATATTTTTTGTGGTTCTTTCTCATGAAAAAAAAACATCAATTATTCACTTTTATGTCTTTATGACTAGAGATGTTCAATACCACTTTTTTTTCAGACCAGAACGAGTATTCACTTTTTGAGTACTCAGCGATATGGAGTATCGATACCTGAGTACTTTGATATAAAAAAATTCATGAAACACAATAATGAAAAATTGTGAACAAAGACCTTTCATTGATTCGCCGATGTGTCAAACTCCCGCAGTGTGGTGACAACTCCTTCTGAGGATGACTTTGTCGATGTCAGATTTTGTTCTTTTTTTTTTTTTTTTTTTTTTTTTTTGTCGTAACTATCGGTGGATGGTAGCAGCAGTCTCCAAGAGTATCGGTACTCACCCATTGCTATTTATTATTGTTTTAATCTGTATTTTCCATTTATTATTAGAGAAATGCAATATCTTTTTTTTCATTTCATATATATATATATATATATATATACGGGTATATGAGAAGATCCGATCAAAACTTTATTATAATACAGGTTTTGTTGGTATGTTCTATGTATTTCTTTTATATTATTTGGTATATTTGAGGTATTTTTTTTTTGCATTGGTATTATTGATGATATATATTCCAAGTAATATAGTAGCAATAATGGCATATGTTCATGCGATGTGTCCCTCACTACCTGTTGGGGGATTGCCTTGTGATATACTGTGAGGCATTTCTGCACATGGCTATATTATCACATGCAAAAAAAAAAAAAAAAAAAAACAAAAAACAACTGCAGCTGCGGTGAGAAAATAAATAGATGATGTGGCCAGAAGTAAGGTAATATATGACAGTGTGTTGATAATATATCAATGTGGCCTTTGTGTACGCAACCGTGAGTAATGCCGCTGCGCGTCTCCCGCAGGATACGGACAACGCCTCATTTAGGAAATCTGCATCTTGCTCCTTTGGGGATGATGGGGACAAACAAAAAAACAAAAAAAAAAAAAACAGTGCAGCATTTTTTTTTTGTGATAAGGCCAATTTCGCCTGGTGACAGGCTTATGAAGTAACTACACGGTCACGCTTCGGATCATGCAAATAATCTCCAAAGTACAGCGCCGCGCTTAAAACTTGTGATTTACAGGGTGCTGAAAGTACCCATGCTCCCGAGGATTGTAAAAGATACGAGCAACTTTGTCATCGGGACAAGGTGCACCACTACACAAATATGCCACAAATGCGTACACAAGTATTCACCACTTTTCATACTGTATATGCGCCACGGACTGCCTCTGTTCTAAAGTATTGGTTCAAGATGACAAAAAGAAATGCTCACAAAAGCTTAGCTTCACAGTATGATGCATTGTTCTAATCCACAATCTCATTTTTGCTGTACAGGGCAGTCACTCTCCTCTTGTATAAAAGTGTCTGCTGATAATGACCAAAAACAAACAAACAAATCTTAAAATTAGTCTAAAGTGTTGCCATGCTTTAGCCTGCTACAGTAGCACAGTCCACAGTCTCCTCTTTGCTGCACAGTGCCCTGAGTCTCCTCTTGGATAGAAAGTGTCTATAATAAACTTACACTGCGAAGATTAGTTTACCTTGTTGTGGTGCTTTAACTCAGTACTTTGTGGTACTATAATCCATAGTCTCCCCATAGCTGCACAGTGCCCTCAATTTCCCCCGAGATTAAAAAGTGTCCATCCAAAAGGACAAACATACAGTTTAGACACACTAACATAAGTTGACCCTCTTACTGTGCTTTAGCTCAGTATGCTATGGTAGCATACTCCACAGTCTCCACATTGCCGAACAGTGCCCAAAGTCTCTTCTTGAATAGAATGAGTCTCTGAACAATGTAAAAAATAAATACGCCCACAGACTAGTTTCCCATGTTGTGGTGCTTTTTCTCAGTATGATGCGGTACTATAATCCATAATCTCCACGTTGCTGCACAGTGCCCTCAGTAGGTTCTTACGTTATTAAGTGTCCATCCAAAAGAGTTTCCCCCGAGATTAAAAAGTGTCCATCCAAAAGGATAAACATACAGTTTAGACACACCAACATAAATTGACCCTCTTACTGTGATTTAGGTCAGTATGCTATGGTAGCATACTCCACAGTCTCCACATTGCCGAACAGTGCCCGAAGTCTCTTCTTGAATAGAATGAGTCTCTGGACAATGTCAAAAATAAATACACCCACAGACTAGTTTCCCATGTTGTGGTGCTTTTTCTCAGTATGATGCGGTACTATAATCCATAATCTCCACGTTGCTGCACAGTGCCCTCAGTCACTTCTTACGTTATTAAGTCTCCATCCAAAAGAACAAAGATACAGTACAGACTCACTAACATTAGTTTACACTGTTGCTTCGCTTCAGCCCAGTCTGCTATTGTAGCAGAGTCCACAGTCTCCACTTTGCCGCATGGTACGCTCAGTCTTAGATAAAAAGTGCTTGTACATTTGACAGGAATAAACACAAACTAATATGACTTTATGCTTTTGTAGTGCCTTCGCTCGAGATGCTGCATTGCTATCCGCCCCAGTCCCACTAGGCCGCAGATGCCCTTAGTTTCGTCTTTGATAAAAGATGGCTTCTTGAGTGACAGGTGAGGCCAGGAAGTTGGGAACAATAAGGTGGTGGGCAGGTGAGACAA